TGTACTACTCCTTGAAAGGGAGAGGAAACTTAAATACAAATATAATTTTTCATGCAGTCGTCTTCAAAGCTTTAATATACATTTCACAAGACGTTATCAGTATTCTCTCCAAGCATATCTAATCTGTTCGCCTTTCAGCTTTCTATTTACTTCAAACAGTTATATATTATGAAACAAAGAAGTTATTTTAATGTTAACTGATGGTGAGCGATGGTGTTGTTTCTGGTATATTAACTGATGGCGAAAGCGTTCCGAATATGAATGCTATTGATAAACAATAACAACAAGATAGAAAATAACATTTCATCTCAGCCGATGGGCTTTTGGCGATAATAGAGTAAAGGAAACAAGTTCAACTTTTTTTTTTCTTGTGAATAACAACGTTGTGTTTATTTGTTGTCTATTTTCAACAAAATATTGATTTCTATAACATATTTCGTCATTTATTTTCAGATTCCAAAATAATGATTCGGTTCTCTCACAGATATCCGTTAATAACTGACCGCGGTGACGGAACTAGGTAGGGGCAGAGGGAGAATTTGCCCCGATTGCCAAAATATACAGAAATTTGTTTTTAAACTTAAGTAAGAATCATTTAAATTTCTTTTTACATTTTAATTGTATATTTTAATTCTATGAAATGAGGTAGTATTATCTGATGATGATACTTTTTTTAAATAATTAACTAAAATCAGTGCCGGACTTGGACGCTTCGTCAATGATGTCATATCTCCCCAAAAAATTAAATATAAAATCAGCCATTGTCCCCAAAACACAAATTCCTTTTCATACATTTTTGAAAAAAAAAAAAAAGCGTATTCTCTTCATAGAACTTCCTTATTAACAATTTATTACCGAATTATGTATTTACTAATTTGTTAATTATTAATTTCTATTATAAAGGTTATTACTATGAAAGAAAAAGAACAGAAAATATATAAAATAATGTTTAAGTTGTCCTTTAAGGACAGTTGAAAACCAAATGCTTTTAGGAATAAAATTATTATTGACAATTTTTATCATCTGGATAATAAAAAATCTGACGTTATCTATTATCTTTTTATTTGTTATTCGAGTTTTTCAATAGAAGTTGGAATAATTTAATTTATAATTTTTTTAGCAAGCCTTCTTTAGAATTGCGGAATAGTCTTATCTAGTTGCCCGAGAAAAGTGAACAATATTACAAAATAAAATGTATCTATTAATCGTTATATAGATAAATATTCCAATAATGTCCAATCCTAACTGGACCCAAGGATCTGTCAGTTATAGTTATAACTTAAAATTTATTTTCTCGTTTTAATCGCTATTCTTTTAATTTAATGAATTAGCGGCGTAATTATTGTTATTCGTAGTTATCTTGCTTAGTAATCCGAAAATGGAGACTTGTTTTAGTCATTCAGAATTTAAAATCCCCTCCGGCACCGGGACGCGAACTCGTACTTTTTTAATCTCTCAAAAATCTCTGTTATCTGGTTGCCAGGCAACTCACGGTGCTGTGCACACGCTTTAGACCATTCGGCCACCCCGCCTTCTGGTTATGGAAGTACTTAAATGGCGAGAAAGATAATCATAACCGACTCAAGGAATCGGTCGCCATCGTTCTCTTTCGGGTAAACCTGAACGCATTCGGCACTCCATGAAAAAGTGCGACCGAAGTGTTGTGGGCGTGTGTGCACAGCACCGCCGTTGCCCGGCAACCTGTTCTATGAGACAATGGATTTTAAATAGTCGCGAATTCCCGTCCCGGTGCCGGAGGAGTCTTTTAAATCCCCGTCCACACCCCCTGGCCCAGGAAAACCCCATATAGCCTTAAAGGCAAGGAAGGGGAGAATAAAAAAAAAAAAGTGCGACCGAAGTGATTGTAAACAACACGTAATCCATGGGGAGCTCATGTGAACTAGTACCAATTTATATCTTAACCCAGAAAACATTCACAGGGGTATAAGCGTACTCCAGGCCATGAATTATTTCCATGTTATTTACAGATGGTGTTCCAGGAGAGTGGAGGTTTCTGTAGTTCACAGTCCCACACGGTCGCACATGTATAAGGATGGGCGATAGTCCAGTCGATAAGTCGATTGTGGAAAACTGGACTATCGCCCATCCTTTTATATGTATACATCCTTATATATTTATATCTTTTAATTCCCAATAGTCATTTTCTAAATTTAATTTGATATTAGTTTAAAATATAATAAAACTGTGATAACGTCATTGTATATTTTGTTTATACAAAAGTAAAAGGAGTAATAAAGGTAACTTTTGTTTCCATCGGTTCAGCTGAGGTTTTAAAAAATTTTCTAAGAAAATTATTTTTCATTTTCAGGGTTTTTCTTGTACGATTTTTGTTTCAATTTTACGTATTGGTAAAAATAGTTTTGATGACGTGGCCTCATATTTCTATCCATTTATTGGGTTTCCATAAAATAATGCAGGATTTTGGTTTAAAAAGAAAGATTTACAACTGTTTTATTTAATCAAAATAGTCTCGACTACTATCAATACATTTCGGCCAACGTGTAGACACCTTTTCCATTCTCTCGGAATAGAATTTCCCAACGCCTTTTCTAATTCCCTTTGTCCTTTTTTTGTTACTTATGTAGTGGTCCAGGTGTCTACAAAAATGATAATCCGTAGGCGAGAGATCCGGAGATTATGGCGTATGTGGCAGAGTTTCATACCAAGTTTTTGTGACGTCAGACGTGAGAAATGTGGCCGGGCATTGTCATGCAACAAAATGTGCCCCTTTGATCTGATTTACCAAAAATGGCTTCATTATTGCCATTTTTGATGCATTACATTAATTTGGTTATAATACGATTTGGCATTGATGATTACTCCAGAAGCAGTAGTTTATCAAACCGGATGAGGCCCACCAAACAATAACCATCAGCTTTTTTGATGAGTTAAGGGATTTGGAAAATGTTCTACTGCTTCTTCTTTGTCGATCCACTGTCCAAAACGTCTACTGCTATCGTAAAGTATCCACTTTTCATCACAAGTAACAATTCTGGACAGAAAAGGTTTGTTTTTGTTTCGACAAAAAGTGTAGCAAAAACTTCATAATGGTGTTTTTTTTTGGTGGTCGTTTAATGTGTTTGAAATCCAACTTTCAAGCTTCTTTACCTTTCCAATCGCTTTGAGGTGGTCATCGACGGTCGATTTCCTAAGGTTAAGTTTCCCTGCAAGTTCTCGAACAGTCGAAAGAGAGGAAGTCCTTCCACGACCTTGTTTGTCTCTAAGGCTGAAGTCTCCATCCCGAAATTTTTTGAACCACCGTTGAACAGTGCACTCATTGATGTTGCTCTCGCTCCACACTTGATTGATGTTTCTGGTAAAACAAAATTATACGAAAATCACGCGTTTATATCTAAATAAAAACTGAATTATTTCTAACCAGCGATGTGCTACAGAAGTAAACAAACATTATCGTTCGGAAGAGGATTAATAAGTGTTGACATTCATACAAATGAATAATCCAGTAAACATAAATAGTCCGTTATATAGAGGGTTATTTTAAAGAAAACACAAAATCGTGCATTATTTTCAGGGCAACCCAATGTTTTCATTCTAACAGTCTTTCATTATCAAACACTTCACTCTCACATTTTTATGTTGTCACTATACCTCTTATATCAATAAATGGATAGAAGCATGAACACATGTTATTAAAATTATCTCTTTAAGTATATAGGGTGTCTCGTAAGTGGAGGGAAATGTTTAACAGGTTGATAGCAGACATCAAGATCTACACATAAACTTTTCCAGCAGAAAAGTAGGAAATTTAATATTTATGTTTTTTAAGCGAACGGCGTTTTTGTTGCACAAGAAGCAATAACTTAAAAAATATTTCATTTAAGTAATTAAGCATTACTACATAGTAAACTAGATAAAATTTACTTCAAATGAAAGTAGATTTTGTCATTGCTAAAACTATTCAAAGAGGGCTATTGAGCGGTACAAACACCGCTAATTTACTACCGTTACCTTCTACAACTTTCTATATTCGATATTGTTTTTCTGACCAGTAATGCCGGAGATTCATTTTCGAACTGGAGAAGCATTTTTCTTTGTTTCTCCTTTATTCACTTATCAAATTCTTTCAAAAGTTATATTTAGCTTTTTTTCGTAACTCTTAATAATGAGAGATAGTTAATTATTTCAAATAAACCATATTAAAAATACTTTAGAGGAAGTCGTATATGAACATTGGACATTAAAGCCCTATTAAGTGACATCAATGGGGATAAGACCTAAATGATATTAAATATCACTTAATTATACAGTGATACACCGAGTTTAATCAAAATCGTTAGCGCCGTTTTTGAGGAAATTGTACAAATGTGTTTCACCGTTGATATAAAGTAGATCTTCCAGTTGGCTAGGAAAAAGTTGCTGTCACATCTAAGGCATATATCTATCTTAAATACGCAATATCAGTTTCGTACTACTTTTGGTTTTTGAGCTAGACTGTTCATATACACACAGACCATTTTTCGGAACTTGGTTATTTATAATCAGGGGACCTCAAAACGTGTATTTCCGTTGAAAACTCAGATTCAAACATTTTCACGATCGCGATACTTACCCTTACTATATACTACATACATAGACAAGTGAAAGTAAAAATTATCTATAAAAGTATTATTGTTGGTGTAATTATTTAATAAGACTTCAAGAATCAACATTTCATATAGGTAGTTAGTTTCTTTGTTTTTCTTACAAATTAATTATTGTTATATATATAAAAGGTTTCAGGCTGGAGCTCCCTCCCCCACCAAAAATAAACTAAATCCTGGATCCACTAGTGTATTAACATATTGTCTACAGTCAAGCATTTCTTCGTCATTATTATACATTTGAATGGATTTAATACAATTAATATGTTTTTATTTTATACAAAAAAAAATCTATTGGCATACTAAAATCTAGAATTCCTTTCAGAGTGGAACTCTCAGTCAAATATAAGGAAGCAATAATTTTTTTTTACAGGTACAATGGCTAAAGAAGTTGTGCTCCTCGATGGCGGGTTTTCAACCCAACTTGCTAAATATGTCGGCGAGCAACTAGATGGTGATCCTCTGTGGACTGCTAAATCTCTTGCCCAGAGTCCAGAAAAATGTACATATGTTCACAGAGACTTTGTATTAGGTATGAAAAAATTACTTTTAATTCCTATAATACCAAGTGTTTATTAACAACTAAGCATCTCTTCTAACAATCAATAGCTTTAATAGTAACAATCTATCTTTACAATATAATACAATATTTTTTCGTCTTAACTATCCCTTTTCCGATTTTCTCAGAAGCGATGGATTTTGATGAATAAGGTATCGAACGAAAAGATATTAAATGGAGCAGTGGCGAATCATCGTAACATCTACCCGAAATTTCAGAGGAAAAAAGCTATGAATAGAAAGAAACTTTATTTGCAAATTACCTAAAAAGCGTGCATTTTATTTATTTTTTAGACCCATGATTATTTGAAAATTTACTTAATTCCCTGTAAAACGAAAAAAAAAATCATGAAAATCGATTAGAAACTTGTAAATTTGAACCGATCCTAGGAGCAAAGTGGGTTCTAATAATTTTTTAAGAAGAAACAGAACTAAAATGTGTATTTCGCCTCTCGAAGAACCCTCAAATACAAATTTTCATAACAATCGAAAAATAAAAATTTGTACAAAATTTGCTACAAAATAAAAATATCGAAATCGGACCGTTATGAGCAAAGATATGGACTACAGTAAATTGCAGAAATGTTTTGGTTTATTATTATGAATTACTTGTTTCAATTCGACCAAGAAATAGAAAATGAATTCCTCCACTTCCAAACTATTTTATCAGTTCTTCTCTGAACAATATTTTATGCGAATTATTCGCACGGTCCAGCTAATTAAATAGGCAACACATTTAATAAATAGACGTTAAGTTTAATGTTTATCAAAAAATTATTTTATCCGAATTCAAAGATAATTTTATTTTGAAGAGAAGGATGGTTGGGTGATCAGTCAAAATAAAAAATAGTAAAAATAAATAATTATATTTATTATTTATTTTTGCTATTTTTTATTTCAACTGATCACCTAACCATCTCTCTCTCTTCACTTGTTTACTGCAGTCAACCATCAACCTAGAATAATAATTTTATTCTGTTTTATTATATCATAACTAAGTTATGTCTTGATGAAATCTATAAGTAAACATTTTCTTAGTCTCTATTTTTTTAATAAATAAATAGATATCTTATTAATGACAGCCAGAAACTGTAACGTCATAGCAAGCTGAAATAGCTCTTAAAGTGGTTTCATGAAATCAAAAATCATTAAATATAATCAACTATAGCAAATATGAGGTAACTGCATCTCTTGAATCACATTTTCTATATACATATTTATAAAACATAACATTATGTACTATAAAAACATTAAGTATATATCTTTCATGGAGAATAAATAAAATAACCACAACACAATTTTTCACAAACAACCAACCACAAACAAAATTTAGCAGAATATTTTTAACTACCATAAATTTTGACCCATTGCTGATAAATTATCAAAAATGTAAGTACTTTTAAATAAAATAAAATTGTCTACATCTTTCTTCCAGTAATGTTCCAGTAGAACCGAACGCTGAATAGTTCAAAAGACGAGATGACAAAATCAATTTACCAGAAACTATTGACATAAAAAAGTAAATATCTCAAAAAATTCACAAACAGGTACAATCTGAAAGGAAATTTTTCATCAGGTTTAATTTTCATTAATAAGGATACGAGGTTTTCTTTAAGACCCACCGTTTTCGAGATATAAGTGAAAACCCGTAGAAAGAGACCCATTCTAGTGCCTACCCATCTACAGCAAGGACAGTGAAACATGGTAGCAAGGACTCGAATATGAAAATCTAAATTTTCTAAAAAATAGATCGTAAAAATCAATTTTAAGACCTAAAAATGATTCCAAGTCATTTATTAAAATTGGTATATAGTATTTCTCACAGACGGATCTGCGGGGGGAGAGGGGAGAGGGGCTTTCGGGCTAAAGCCTTCCCCCCTCCCAAATGGTAAAATATAATCATGTTTTACAGAAAAAATTATTAAAAACTATCTCTTAAAGTATTCTTGTTCATTTAATTTCATTTAATAGGACTTCAAGAACCACTTAAACTCCATTTTATATAGTTAGTTAATTTCTTTCTTTTTTTTTCAAATTAATTATCGTTATATGTATATGAAAAAAAAATCTTCCGGTCTGAAGCCCCCCCCCAAAAATTAAATCCTGGATCCGCTAGTGGTATTTCTAGAGTTTAAACATGGAAAAGTTCACTAGCAGATCCAGGATTTAATTTTGGGAGACTCCAGCCTGAAAATAAAAAACAATCATATGAAATAGTGAGACCTAAATAATATTAAAGATCACTTAATTATACAGTGATACACCGTGTTTAATCAAAATCGTTGGAGCCGTTTTTGAGAAAATTGTAAAAATGTGATTCACCGTTGATATAAAGTGGCACTTACGGTTAGCCGATTATAAGGAAAACGTTGCCGTCGCATCACAGTAATATTCCTTCCTTAAATACGTAATTTCAGTCCCGTGCGACTTTTCGTCTTTGTGCTAGACTGTTCACATTCACAGAGACCATTTTTGGAGGATTGGTTATTTTAACTCAGGCGACCCTAAACGTGTATTTCCGTTGAAAACTCCGATCCGAAAATTTTCACAGTCGCAATACTTTCCCTTACTATATTGCATATATAGGGAAGTGAAAGTAAAAATAATAAAACCTAAAAAGCCCTAATAACTAGCACTAGCGGCTCCAGGATTTAATTTTTTTTGGGGGGGGAGAGAGCATCAGCCTGAAAGATTTTTTTTCATATATATAACGACGATTAATTTGAAAAAAAAAAAGAATAAAGAAATGAACTACCTATATGAAATGGTGTTTAAGGGATTCTTGAAGCCCTATTAAATGTAATTACACAAACAATAATACTTTTTAAGAGATGTTTTTAATATTTTTTTCTATAAAACATGATATTTTACCGTTTTTGGGGGGCTTCAGCCCGAAAGCCCCCCCCCCTCCTCCCCTCCCCGTAAATCCGCCTTTGATAACTAGTGATGCACTATACTGTGAAATCATTATCACAGGTTAGAGATTAGCAGTTACCAAATGATAACGTGTTCCACTAACAAATTATTTTAAAAACCTGTGAAAAGTACCAAAATTCAGCTCTAATTCCATCGAAGAAGTCCAGTACCGATTGATAGCGATTTATGCTGAGTTCAGGAAATATCTCATGATTTTAGCCAGAAGTTAAGGCAATTAGAAGGTAACAAAACATGAAAAATAAAAATTATATCAGAAATTATTTACCCAATGAATCGTAGAACTTTAAAACAGAAGCAAACAAATATAAGTAAACCGGATATAACTATGTGAAGTAAATTAAGAAATAACAACACTAAAGTAACATTCAGCGGATCCAGCAATCCCAAAACCTGATGGGAGCGGTGAATCATCGATTATTCAATCCATAACAGCGCTTATGTCCCCTACAAAATCCTGAAATTCCTCCCTTAATGCACTTTGCAACTATTTTTTGTCTGGACTATCTTAAAAAGTAATTGCAGTTTCGTGCTAGATATCTTTTTAGAATTGAGGCTGTTTACATACACATACGCACAATTGACTATTTGAAGAGGTTTCGTTATTTGGACTCAGACACCTCAAAACTGTATTTCCATTGAAGACTTGAATTCAATTTTTTTTAGGATCACAATACATACTTTCCCATATTATATATTAATACTCATTTCATATCCAGGCGATAACAAGTAAAATTTAAAACTGTTACCTACCTGCATTTTGAGATCGCTGTGGATGATCAGAAACAAAAATTAAACCAAAATGTACGTTATAATCAATTACAATTACCACTTTATAATATAAAAATAAAAGCATAACAACATTTTAACAATGACCACTTATAGATTTTAGGGTTCACGCACATTTGATCGCATAAAATGTATATTACATAGAATAAATTTTAAAAAGAAAAATTATTCAATTTTACTAACGTTCGTAATTAAAGCACGAGTAAACTCTACTACCAGAAAGGTGTACAATAATCCGCCAATATTTAGACCATGGCCAACTGCTCAAAACTTAAAATAAATACATCATTAAATTCATAAATACAAAAACTTAAATTTTAATTGAAAATTTAATGTTATAATATTTTATTCTTGTATTTACAACATTAGCATAATTTATTAACCAATAGTATTCATTGTTTTTTTCTGGCTTATGTATCTATTACTTTTGTAATAAACTTTTTAAAAATGTCGTTAATTTTTGTTTAAATGTTTTTATTTATGTTACATATTTACATTATAATTTTATACATATTTAATTATAAATTAAATATTTATTTTATTTATTAATTTTTCATATAGAATAATACATTCATGATGATGATTATATACAAATATTTCAAAACTATTAGACTACTTGAATAATTGAATACATAGAGGAATTAACTATGTATCTATTTAAAAAAGAAAAGGGAAATAGAATATTAATGGCACAGGTTGTTTTATTTTTTTTAATCATTAAATTTTTATGATTGTCTCTCTCTTGTGGATAAAATATTAACTGACACTCCATTCCAGCATCCACTACCTTTAGCAGAGCAGAAGCTTGGTCTCTACCATTGTGGATTTAGACAAGGAAGATTTACAACAGATGAAATATTCTGCCTCAGAACAATCCTTGAGAGAGGAAATGAATATCAAATTAAAGCCCACCATCTTTTCGTACACTTCAGGCAGCTTATGCCAGCATTGACCAGGAAAAACTGTAAAAGACACTTGAAAGGTTCAATATCCCCTTTAAATATGACTAGTAAAGCTGACCATGAGAGAAGCGAAGTGTGCTGTATGGTTTGGTAGGCAAAGGATGGAAGATTTCTCCTCAGAAAAAGGATTTCGCCAAGGTGATGCATTAGCATGCCTCCTGTTAACATATATGGGGTCAATGGTGACTCAGGGTAATACACCTGAGGTTGAGGTGAAGAAAAGAATATTGATAACCCATAGGTGTTATTTCGGCCTTCACAAGAAATTCACCTCTCACCTTCTATCCCATAAGATCAAGCTATATTTTTACAAATCTTTAATCCACCGAGTTTTATTGTATGGATCAGGAATATGGACAACTAGTAAGAAAATTGAATAAGATCTCCTAGTTTTCGAAAGGAAAATTCTTCAAAGAACTTTTGGAGGAATTCATATTGATGGAGGCTGGAAGAGGTAGAAGAACATCGAAATTTATTCAATTTTTTATGAAGAAGATATTGTTCTAAAAATAAAGCTTGGGAGACCGAGATGGGCTAGCCACGTGGTTAGGATGGATGACAAAGCAATCGCTAACGAGGTTCTGATGGAAACTCTCCACAGCATTAGAAGAAGGGGAAGATCAAAACTCAGATGGGCAGATTAAGTAGCAAGAGATGCACAGGATATGGGTGTATATATCCAACTGATGACTGGGAGTCAGAAGTTGGATGATGGCTGCACAGAGCAGAGATGACTAAAGGAAGCTGGTGGAGGAGGCCATGACTCGTCACAGAGTTGTAGCACCAAGATAGATATATAGATAAATATTTATAATAAAACAGAAATACAAACGGTCATAAATTAATATATAATAAAACATTATATTAAAACATCCTCAAATGCAAAAATAAGGCATTATTGTACAGTAGCAAAACCTGTAATATCATATGGTATGGAAACAGTCAGCCTTCCGAGCCTAGAGAAAATCCTGAAGATTGAGTAGAAGATTCTGAGGAGGATTCAAGGACCCAAGGTAACGCAAGAGGGATACAGGCTAAAATCCAATAAAGAAATATACAAAAATTTGGAAGATTTGGAAACAGTCGTCAGGGCCAGAAGACTGAGGTTCTACGAGCACATGGTCAGGATGAATAGTGAAAGACTGAACAAGAAAATTGTTGATAAAGTTTGCAGCTATAAAAGTATAGGGGGATGTGTAAAACAAATAAAAGAGGAACTAGACAGGCTAAATATCACGGATAAAGATTGCTTGGATAGAGAGCATTTTAGGGAAAAACTGAAAGGGGTTGGAGTTCTTGTAGGTGGGAGGGAGAGACAAAAAATAAAGTGGACTAAGGAAGAGTGAGAGGAACAGTCCAGAAGGATGAGAGAGTATTGGAATAAGAGGAAGTGAAGAGGAAACAGAAATGATATTCGCGTGGTTCTTGCTGGCCGGTTTGTGGGAAAAAAACCATTATATTAACTCTATTTTTACTATAGAATAATCAATAAATATTATCATTTAAAAAAAAAAAGTGAAGTTTTTAAAGACAGTAACCGGATGATGGAGATTGAAGACCACTAAATTTGAAACGTAAAACCAAGACCTATTCTAAAGAAAAATGTTGGAAAACAAACAGATACTATAAAGTCTCTTTATGCGTTGCCATATATTACAATCATATTGATGAATTTTAATTATGTACAAAATATAAATATAAACTATTCATTTCTTCTTACACAATTACATAGTTTAAAATATAAAATAAAAGCTGTAACTCATAATAAATTATACTAATTCAAATCATTTAAGATTTTGGTTATTGCCGAAGTTTCAACCTTAGCTTTGGAGATCATCAACAGTGCTGGTAACATGCCCTTATGATGAACCACAATCTTGGGTTGAAATGTTGGCCACATTAAAAATCTTAAAATGAGTGCGCCCTGAGTATTTATCACCCATGATATGCAGAATAGGGGACTAGCTTCCTTCAATAATTCATACAAATTATATTTGTTTCATGGAAGCTGGAGCAAACATTATAAGTACTGGATCTTACCAAGCTACAGTTGAAGGTTATAAAACATATATTAATATGGACAAAGAACAATCTCTATGCGTAATAAGAAATTCTGTGAGTTTGGCTAGGCAAGGAATAGAAATGGCCCAATTAGAAGCAGGTAAATCTTTTCATTTATTCACTCCATCTTTGGAATTAATTTATCCTCCATGCTACCTTATATGTTCTTTATTTCCTAAACCTAAAATCTTTGAATTTTTAAAAACCTCATCAAAACCTTTCTTAATATTTTAATCATATTTTTCAATTCTATTAAGAGCTACACTTATACCTTTAATCTCATAAATACCTCAATCAAGTTTTCCACTTAAATTGTGAGTACCTCAATTTAACACCCACTTCAAGCTAGGTATGTCTCCTATCCTTTTATTAATTTCATATTCAGTGTAAAAAACATATATTTCAATGTATTGTGGTTTTATCTTGTATATGTATGACAAAGATCAAACTATCACCGGAGTGGTATAAATAATGTCCACTAACATAAGTAGACCATATCATTTGGTATACTTAAAATTTAAATTAAGAAAAAAATTAAAAATATGCAACTATTAGTATATTAGTTTACAAAATTATTTATTTTGCCGTATATTTTAAAAGTTCAATGTATGTTATGTTAAAAACATATATATATATATAAATCCCAGTTGTCCATGCATTCAGCTTTCATTCTGTTTGCAATTTAATTATTAACTACTAAACTCAAAATGTTAAAAAAAATTGTTGAGAAGTTACATAATTGGTACATGGTTTTCAAATCATATATCAAGATTAGTTTACATCACACCTCTGCATTATTTCAAATAAAATATTTTAAAATACAAAGTAAAATACATTTTTTGTCTTTTGCTTGTATTTTAAAGTACTAAATATAAAAGAATTATTATTATGTATTTTCTTTCAAAGATACTCAAATAAAAAAAATGTATTTCATTTTTTATTTTAAATACACAGAATAAATGATTAAATTGAGTAGGTTCTCCTGGAAGTATTGTAATGCAGATAGTTGGCTTAAGATCTCTCTCCTTTCAAAATCGAGCTTAGAAACTTTTTTATGTCAATTCTATTTAACTTGTAATTATCTTTGGACATAAAATGAATTAGCCTTTGAAAAATTATGTAGGACTCCAGGGTCGTATAATAGGAAAGTGTAGCATATTTTGTCAACAAAAGAAGTAAAGGTGTGATGTTTAGTTAGAATTTTAAGATTAAGACCCACTTTTAAAATTTTTAAGTTTTCATGATTCATTTCTATTGAAGACCAAAATGTACGTATTAAAATTATTAGTAAATATTACTATCTCATTTATATTTTTTCATATTTGTTATTTTGAGTCAATCTGTTCTAGATGATTTAATGTTATTTTGATTTTTAAAGTATTGTGACTTTACTAATTGGCCACTAGGACTCTAGAGATTTATTTGAAAAAAAGTTCTAGAAATTTGGTAAATTATCACAAAATATATTACTCCATAATGGTGATTAACTGCTGTAAAGATTCTGAACTATGTTTATATTTCTATAAAAGAGCTAAGTGTAATTTAAATTTTTTTGTTTTCAATTGGTGCAAATGATACTACTAAATCCAAGTAGCCACAAGTAACAGCTTTAATTGATTTTAAAAAAAAACTACTAATTTTAATGGGCATAATTTTTATTAATGTACATTAATATTAAAACTATATAATGTATATTAAAATCTTAGTGAGTTTGGACAAAAAAAAATTAATCATTTTCATCTGATTGCTGGATCAAATAAATTTATTATTTACTAAATATTGAAATTTTTAAAGTCAGTTTGAAATTAACAATTTCTTGAATCCAAAGGTTTGATTATTTTAAACTAATCACATTCATTTTAATAAATATTTCTGTTTTTCCTATCAATATAATTTTCTTATATTGTCACTTCTTTGTATGACTACAAATGTTTTTTATATAAACATTTTAAATGAGCTTTGAATTAAAAAAAAAGTTTACTTTGTAGGGCAAACATTTAATGTAAAAGTAGCAGGTTCTGTTGGCCCATACGGGGCTTTTCTTCACGATGGTTCAGAGTACACAGGATCTTACACAAACCAAGTTACAACTGAAAAATTAATAGAATGGCATCGGCCCAGAGTGCAGGCTCTGATTGAAGCAGGTGTGGATATACTTGCCTTCGAAACAATCCCATGTTTCAAAGAAGCTGAAGCTCTTATTAAGTTATTGAAAGAATTCCCACAAGCAAAGGCTTGGGTATCTTTCTCTATTAAGGTATACTAGATAAAAATTTTCCTCTTTAAATTTAGTACAACTTTCTGCTAACATGTGGTTTAACAAATTATTTCCATGTATTATTGTTTACAGAATTCAAATACAGTCAGCAATGGTGAAAGCTTCTATGATAATATCCTAAAATGCTGGAAGGAATCAAACCAATTAATCGCCACTGGAGCTAACTGTTTTAACCCTTCTTTAGTCAGTTCACTGTTTAAAGATCTAACAAAAAATCATCCTTCATTATCATTAATTACTTATCCAAACAAAGGCGAAACATATGACACTCAATCTCAACAGTAATTAGAAATTTTTTTAATTATTATTCATCCTCAAAAACTATTTAATAAGAATATTTTTCTTATATTATATTGATTTTAATTATAAGGGCATAAAATATTACGTTCCTTAATAAAAAGTTAATAATATTAATATATTTTAAACTATTTCTATCACAATAGCAATTTATTAAGTACATGTATCACACATAATATGCCACTATGAAATTGGAGAAACATGAGAGAATACTTCTTTTATTCTTGTATTTCTCGTAAATAAAATTATAAATTTGAACTATTTATAATTATAATGTACTAAGCAATTGACAACACTTCCACTAGTTTAGAAATGTTCAACAATGAGAATGTTTCAGTATATTATTTAGTATGTACTGTGTACAGAAAGATAATACAATAAAATAAAATTTTAAAATATTAATTATATTAATCTTTATAATACTGGGAGTGGAGTAGCTCAGTGAGTTAGGTGCTGAGCCACTATGCTCTAGGTCCAGGGTTCTAATCTGGCTGCTGATAAGTTATTTTTCATCAGCCGTGGATCGACCCTGGGGTCAGAAGATCCTCCTGGGATGGGGTACACTTAGCCTCTATAAAGTGGGTACTCTTAATTAAATAATTAATTAAGAGGAAAAAAGCTGGCAGTTGAGCATGATTCTATCCTGATTACCTCCTTGCACAACCATTTTTCTGTAACAGTACTTCCTAACAAAGTACTAAACCCAAGTCCCTTCATGGGTTATAGTGGTACATGTTTTTCTTTCTAATATTTTCTCATTAATAAATCATAAATTGCAATATCTGTTTCAGATGGCATAATTCAGAAAACAGTGCCAGCATTGAGTCATATATTAATGAATGGATGGATTTAGGAATAGCATATATTGGAGGTTGCTGTAGAACAGATGATAAAGTTATCCATATGATGTCAAAGGACATGAAGAAATGGAAATCAATAAATCTATAAATGTAAACATGCTTTTTAAAATAAATTGTAAATACATAAGATATTTAAGAACTTTTGTACTTTAAAAATTGAAGAAATAAATCCAAGCTATTTAAAAAATATATATGTATATATAAATAGATTTTTTTTAAAATTGATTATTGTATATGTTTATTTGTTTTACGATAACTTTGAACAATATGTATATATAATTAAATAACTGTCTGGCTCGAAGTATCGTAGAATAAAAAAATCAATTTTAAAAAATGTCTTAAAAAATACATCAGATTTAAATCTCTACCTACTAATCTTGTAAGTACTAACTTTCTTCAGAGGTTAGTCATTCGACTTATAAATTTCTGAACATGAGTAAAATGTTATAATTAGTTAAAGTGTTTTAGGTTATAGTACATAATACGATATATAATTTTACCAATAAAACATTACTGCTTATCAGACATCAAATACAAATAAATCTTAACCAAGCTTTTCTCTAAATCAAGTAAACATTGTGTCAATTCTGAGCACTAAGTTTCAACTTTATGTTATGAAATAAGTGTCACTATTAAATATTCAGCTATTTTTCAAAAATAAATATATGACCGTGAAATTTACAGTTTACTATTGAGAATGAAAAATATACTAAAACACGCAAAAAGAAGTTATTCGCGAAGTGCCCTCATCTACAACAAAGGACAAAGCTGGTTCGAGGACCTCAGAAGGTACATCAAGCAGGGTGAAGATTTCTGCAAAGACTTGGCAACCATACTTCAGGAAAGTGCCTGAGGGAGTGATTATGATCATGTCCGGTTATTGTTAATCACATGCTGTCTGGATACCTTCAAAAGAACTAAACGCTTGAAGAGAACCAAATGATCACAGCTGTCATCTATAACTGCCCAAAGCTACTAGAAGACTCATGGAAGAAGCTGAAAGTCAAAAGGCATAAGAAAAAAAAATTATAAATTTCTAGTTTTAAAAGATTTGGTTGGGTATCATTCAACAAATGATTGATTCAATAAGTAAGGAATATATTACCTATTCATATTTATAGAACATTAAATGGTTAATAAAAAAAAAAAGAAAACCGCCCCAGTGACAGTTGAAAAAAATATCTATTATACATTATTATAAAAAATAACTAATATTTATTTATTAAGTTTTTACTTTTTTTGAAGTTTTCTTCACCACTACACTGATCACCTCCTTTATTATTAATATTACATTTTCAAATTATCGAACAGAAGGAAGCAAGCCTCACTTGTGGTTTACTTGAGGTATTTAATAATCATCAAGTATTGAAGACCATTCACAATTAGATTTTATTACGAAATCTGATTTTTGAGATTAGGTAATTATGTTTAAAGGTGACTTAACATGGTCAACACTATTGAGTCATTGTCAAATTTAATCAATAATTTGGTCATCTGAGATGTGCATTGAATCAACAATAATGAGGTAATATTGATAATATGTATTTAATAAATATAGATAGAGACCTTGGGGAATCCTAGGCAATAGGTTATTATGAGGCTCTCTTTGGTTAGGGCACGAGACTGTCAGAGGAAGGGGGACTGTCAATGATAAAAAAAAACTTTTTTTCACATTTTCAATTTCATAAATAAAAATACATAGATATATAATAACATTCTTGTACTCAGTGATGCTGGTTCAAATCTAGCCTGAGCAGGTTAAAATTTATTTAATGGTGGTTCCATGAAATGAATCTTGACCTTCCCACTCTGGTTAGAAAAGGTTTGACTGTACCTCTAGAACAACCCCCCTTCTCTCTTCTCTATGCCAGAAATGGTGAGGTACGGGGTTATCCGAAAAAAAAAATAAAGATAAATAATACAAGATCTCTGTGGTGTAAATAGGGTCACTTTTCATAAGGAGGAGGGATTGACATCCCATATAAAATTCAAAGAGATTATATATACCAGAAGATCAGGTAAAACATGCAGTGACATAGATATTATTAATAAGAGCATATGGACAGTTGTTTATGATGATAAAAAAATTACTTCAAATTTCTTATTTTTAAATATTATTTCTGAAAGATGTTTTTTTTTTTTTTAATCGGTAAGATATATCTTCATTAATTCTTCAGCAAGTACAATTTTGAAGATTATGTTTTTCGATACTGGAAAATTGTAGACCCCCCAGAAATGTGAGGAAAAATAGTTATGAAGAAAGCTTTATTTGTGTACAACTCAAAAAAATATACAATTTATTGTTTATTATACCCATGATAATTTGAAAGATTTCTTAATTCCCTTCACAATGAAAAAAAAAAAATGTATTATGGAATAATTAATATTATAACATATAACATTACCAGTTGTTCACTGACCACAAAACCATACAGGTTATTTGCATGGTCTAGCTAATAATGTTAAAATATTTTTAAGTGAATTTATAGGTACACACACAATATATTACCTACCTACTTTGGTGACAGCTAGTTGAAGGGTTTCATTACCTAGTATATCTAGTGTGTAGCATTTAGCATTAGTGGGATTCATTCACCAAAGCATCAGCACTGCCAAACAGTATTAACAGTATGTGGAGGACTGTACTTCCTGTACAGAAGAAAAATGGCCAACTTCAGATACCCTCAGTCTCTTGCTCAGAGGCTAAACGACAGAATTATCTAACCAAATCAATTAACTTTACAAAACATGATGGCCGATGTGCTTTTTCATCTTATAAATTAAAACAAATAAAATTGAAATAGTTCCAAGCTAAGCATCTCACCACAGCATCAACACATGAATTAGACCAAACAGCACTCAGTCCGATCTAAAATTACTTTCAAGTATTTGGTAAACTTCACACATAAAATAGATTTTTGAAATTATAAATGATAAAAAGTGTCATTAGTTCAAAAGCTAGATTTAAATTTAAGGTACTAACTTCTATGAGATGATTTTCTTATTGTTTTTTGAAATAATGAAATAGATTTTAGAAATCATTAAAAGGCTTGACCAATTTCAATTGAAAGTTTTTTAATATGATTTTTTTTAAAACTTTTCTCTTCCAGCTACTTTCAGCCATCTGCATATTTTTATAACTGCAAGTCCTTATAAGTGATCTTCACCAACAAATACAAATCAGTTCACATACCAGACTCCCGTGTTTATGATATTTAAAATTGTGAAGTTTTTATTTCCTCAGAATTCATCATCCTTCTTGAGTGTATTTTGATTTACATTGCTGTCAACATTAAACAATTGCTGAAATGGCAAACGTTCGATATATTGTCACTGGCCAAAGCCAGTATAAGTATACAAAATTTTGGCAAGTATTTCAAGTTATTTCCTATTTATTGTGCATTAAAATGTAACACCCTAAGAATAGAAAGGTCATCAGTTACAATGTAAACTCCTTATAATGCTATACTCATAACAAATCGAAACCATAGCTAATTGGTTTTTAACAAAAGATTTAAATAAATATATATATATATTCAAATTTGTAGGTTAGGACTTTATCTTAGTAGTAACAATAAAACTACATGTTTAATCACAATAGTCCTAGTTTATTTGTTTTTTTACATCAACATTTCAGCCCTTAGACCATTATCAAGGGAAGACATTTTTAGCAAATAAAATAATCATCACAGCCTAATTATATCTGCTAATTAATTATTTTCAATTAATATTCTATTTTTACGTAGTATATAAGGTTCCATGTTTGAATTGTCCAGCAATATAAATAGGAGAAACTGAGCAATACATCAACGACAGAATGAACCAGCATCAGAATGATGTAAAAAACATTTTAAAAAAAGCAATAGTACAATACACTTTCAATAAAGAGCAGACATTTGACTTTGAAATAATCAGTACCTGTACCTGTTTAAGTATATTTTTAGAATAATTTAAATTAAATTTTAAATAAAAAAATGGGTTGTATTGAGTTGTCAAAAAACAAATAAAGTAGGACTATAGTGATCAAAAGATTTAATTTTTTTTAAAAATAACTGCAAATAAATACAAAAATAAAGTATATAGTACTAGAAGCTATCGGGAAAGAAAATTGTATTAATTTACTGGCAATAAAATTATAAAACTTTGAAAGGAATCAATAGTAACAACATATGGAGGAGTATTATCATGTAATGGTTGTTAAAGTATGAGGAAAAAATGTTATTAAAGCAATTAACAGGAATTAGTAGTAAAAAGAAAATAGTGCAAGAAAAAATAATTTTAATTGTATGTATTTTAAAAGTATTTAACAGTCTTTGAATCCACACATAACAGGTAACTATGAACATGGCATACATTATTTACACTTTCTATATCACTAACAAGCATCACTTTATGAGATTCATTCATTAGCCAAAAAATGTTTTAAGTACAATTTCCAATTCATTTTATGAATTCAAGTATCTAACGTGTACAAAACAATGTTATTAGATTAGTCATTAGCTAATAGTGAACCTGATTACATGTTTAATAAAACTATATCACAAATGCAATAATTATAAAACAGTCATTTACAATTTATAAAATGATTTAAAGTTATTGTAATCTGTTTTATTTGTTAGTATACCTTGTTAGAAACATAGAACTAAAACTAAGAACAAAACACCAAGTAAAACAAACCATATAATAGTCATATAATTATTCACAGTCATACAACTTTTTAAAAGCATGAATTATATTTTAACAAATAAAAACAAGAAATAAAATGTAGTGATGTTGAGGCAAGGAAATATGTTAATGTCCTTTTTAATCAGTTTTACTTTTATCAACTTCTTCATCGCTATGTTTGGATGAGCCATTCTTAGAGATAGCCCTATTTTGCTTGAGCTGAGCACGTTTTAACTGTACCATCAGTTCACTTGACTGCCAAAGCCAGCTTGCCTTAATACGAAAGAATCATAAAAATGAAAATTGAGATGACTAAATACTAATAAGAATGAAATACAATAATTGCATATAAATATAAACTATCTGGTTGGTACATAAAATAAAAACTGAAATAATGAGGAAGTTCTTCATTTTTTTGTTTCAATGTGATGAAATAAGAAAGGAGGAAAGTGGTTTAAAAAATTATGAATATTAACTATGATAATATAAACTTTTAGAGCTTTAAAAGAGTAGTAATGAAAAGTGACACCTTTCTTTTTTTTTTCTTATAAAATCCTTATTACTGTACTACTTGATAAAGAAATTTCAGTTCGAAAAACTTTTGCTTTAATACGATATTCAAATTCAGATCTTGCCAAAAATAACTATTGGACATTTTTGAAAATTCGTATTTGAAGACAAGAGTTACTTAACTAAAATTTCTCCAAGTAGCACAGTGATAGGAACTATACATGACAAAAAATCTAAGGTAACTCTCTCTCTTCATTATTACACTTATAAAGCACTAAAAGTCTTCTTTTAGGTTAATGTTCATGTTTTTAAAAACACTTTTCTTCCTTCTCATGTGATGGATTGAAAGACAAAAATGTAGACAAACCTTCCATTATTTCAGTTGTTTTTTTTTGTTCAATAGGTACAAAATTATCAGGGTTAAAGATATTTTTCTAAAATATGTGAGCTTTAAAAGTTTTTTAACCATAATTTTGATTGAACACATCATTTAATAGAGAATAAATGGAAAAAGAATTATTATTTTTTTTTTTATTTATTCATGAAATTTACAAATGTGTAAATTAAATATACATTTAGTAAATGTGTACAGAGAAATACAATAGTATAAAAAGAATTGTAGAGAATCTACCTATTGGTAGCACTCTAATAAAGTATCTAAATTAGGAGATCACAAGGCCATCTTCTTTTCAGACGCCTCAGGGGGTTATCAGGGATCGAGGAGGAAGCAAGATTTGAAACGAGATGGTTCGGATGGTTCTGAAATTTGTTATGGAAGGATAGGTATCTGGATTGGGCCAAATCGGAAACATGGAACTAAAGGATTTTGGATTGGATAAGAGAGGAATTCGATGGTTTAGTGTAGCCCCATAGCTCAAATAAGTCTTATTATAGCCAAGTATATGAGTCTTTTGTAGTTAATTGAGAGTTTAGAGGGTTTGTCGAGTAAGTGCTGAAGTAGTCGGAAACGTCAAGCGGTTTCTTGTCTTTTTAGTGTGATGATTGGACCTTACACGATCAGTCGTGAATGAAAGTCACAAGACTGACACGGATTGCTCCGATCATGATGAACCCTACACGTTCCACCATTACTGACCATTTTAGCTCAGTTGACATAGAGATAACAGACAGCATGGATCTGCATGTGAATGGTGCATTGTCCACTTATGATATGTGGATGGTGCATTGTCCACCTATGATAATGTTTTTAATTTAAAAAACTTATTTGGACATTATCCTTTATAGCATTGGACATCAAGAGAAAAATGGAGTGAGTAATAATAAATAATTACTTCCAAGTTCCTGAAAATCGTTTTGACAAAAGTTAGAAAAATATAAGTCAACTGTTTACAAAAATTAAGGAAAAGTATTGCGAAAATAATCAATTTGTTAAGAAAAATGAAAAAAGAACTGGCAAATATACACAACAGTTAAAGATTAATTTTTTTCTATAATTAAATTGTGAAGTTTCCACTTATTTTTTTTTAATTTATTGCCAACTTGACTATTTAAAAAAAATTAGTTGAAGATGGTTTATAAAATATAAACAAAGTATATGAAAAACTATTTACTTTTAATGAAAATCAGGAATTTACAATGGTTGGGAAGCCTAGGTAAACTAACCTATCTTGTAGAATGGTTAGTCTTCCCACCACTTTTACTTCAATCTCTCCACTTCTCGTGATTGGTCCTTTGATTTCTGGAAATCCGCCAGACACGTCCATCAGTACTCAATCAGTACCTTACACGATCCATCGGAATGTCAATAGTGCCTCGAATGCAATTCCGAATGACCGTGTAGGCTCCGTAATATGAGAATTCCAAGTTAGACGTTTGTCTAGGTGCATTCCTAGGTATCGGATTTGTTTAACAGGGATAAGCAGAATATTATTAAAGGATACTAAAGCACAGGAAGTCATAGGTTTACACCGAAGGATAAAGATAATTTGGTGGGATTTATTGGAATTTATTTTGCTTTGCCAGTTTTGAAACTGTTCTTCAAGATTTGTGGTATGTGATTGGAGAGTTTAGGATGCAATTGATAGGTTATTATTAACTGACAGGACACGTGTGTCATCAGCATAGGTGGTGATGACAGTGTTGGGATGCCAGCTGTATAGACTGTGTAAAGGATAGGACCTAGGATTAAAAATAATTATAAAAATAAAAAATGATGAAAATGATGAACATGGCGTGATTTTAAATGGACTGACTCTTAACGGTTTGTTGCATTGAAACCACAAAATTAAACAACTTAAGAGTTCAGCTTTTAAAAACATTTTAATCCAGAGAGATCAAAAACAACATTTTTCGATAGTGATTCAAAAAGAAAATATTATTTCTTTGTTGCACATCGAGTAAATTATTTTAAAAAAATAATAGTAACAACTTTTTGTGATCATGGTCTTGTTTTTAATATTGTTAATAATAAAAATATGTTGATGTAACTGAATTTGATAAAATAATATACATATAAAAATATAAAACAATATTGTATTGGAAAAATATAGATACAATTATTTCAAATTCATAAATTAAAATTACTTACCATTAAAACCATGATGTTCAGCAGGATCGGTACAGAAAATATCAATGATATAAACATACCCTTCCGATCAAAATACTGGTGTCTGGATATCCGGCTGTTAAAATTAGAAAAAATGAAGTTCAAGTAATAAGTTAAAAAAATGAAGTTCAAGTTAATATAGAGAATATATGAGGTATTTAGAGATAAAGTGGATCTAACCCATAAGTTTTAGTTTGAGAAAATCATGGTTAAACTTTATTAAAACTAATTGAATCTTTTTGTATTAGGAAATAATTTCCTTTTAATTGTAGTAGTGTAAAGATAAACATAAGTATGAGTTATCATTTGATAATTCAAAAACAATAATTATAATTCCTGATCCATGTTGACCTTTCAATTTTCACAAGATTTTCAGGATTAAAAACAACTATGTCCTTTGGATAAAAAATAACAATAGCAGGAACCAAGTTTACTTAGGATGTGAAAATATATATCATTAATAACATTTAATCCCCAACACAAATGTTCTTAAATTTTTGGACTGGATCCATTACAGCTCTGGACACTTCAGAAAGTTAAGATATAAAAGATAACAAGAAGTTAAGATAAAAAAAAAATTATCCTATCAGAAATACAATAGTTTATACCTCCATTTTTCAGCAGCAAGTTCATTGATGTTTTCAGAGAAATAAACCAGCAACACTGGAAAATTTAATTGAATTAAAACAGCATATGGGCTATTAGAATATATATAGAAAACAAAACTTTATTATACAATAACAAAGTCTCTTAAGAATAACAGTTGTGTACAGACAAATAAAAAAAAATTCTGGCCATAAGACCTGTTACAATGAATGAATAAATAAAAAATATTTAAATGTAAGTATGTACATAGATATCAGATAGGTATTCAAAAATATAGAAGAGTAGTGTAAGGATATATTTGATATTGAAAAATAAATGAATAGAGAAAAGAAAGATTAAATTTATAAGCAAAAACTCTTATCTTCAAAGCCAATATAATTTACACTTGACAATGAAACCTTAATTAACACTTGATAAGGCACTCTTTACAACTGCACTGATGTTGTATCTCATTTGAAAACAGCCTCATTCCATGTTTTTTGGTGTGAGAAATTCAAATTTTCACATAAAAATCACCAGTTAGCTCTAGTTTCAAAGATATAGTTACTTTTTGCATGATATGGGAAAATTTCCTGCTTCTGGGTTGGAACTGTGAATCACAGAACCATTTTGCTGACAGTTGTATGCAGTGTTTACATTTCAAGTTACTCTTGACATGATTTATCTTGCTTCAGGCATTCTTTCAACAATTTTGTAATAATAGCCTAGTAGTTTTGGTCAAGTTACAATTTAAGTTATAATGCCCAGGAAGTGCGTGAATGTTCCTGAAAACTTTTGTTACATTTGTGGGGAAGTAACCTTTGCAAGTCAAAAACATCCCATCACCCAGATGATCAAGACAACATATCAGAAGTATTTTGGGGTGAAGGTTGGTGACCAAGATAAACCATGGGCCCTGCACAACGGCTGCATCACATGTAGCGTAACCTTAAGAGAATAGTTAAACAAGAAAGGTCATTCAATGCGTTTTGATGTTCCAATGGAGTGGAGGGAACCTATTAATCACACTGACAAATGCTATTTTTGCATGACCTCTCCTCTTCATCATGGAATGTCTTAAAAAAGAAATCTGAAGTGCCCTGACATACCTTCTGCTCTACGGCCAATAACATATGAGGAGGAATTGCCTGTTCCAAGGCCTCTTGAACACTGTGACTTGAATGAGGACGAGGATAACGAAGAAGAAAATTCCCTAGGAAGAATCTCATCAGATGATTCTGATTTTTCTTTCGTAAGAGAACAACGAAAACCCCACTTGCTTACTCAAGCTGAACTCAGTGATTTGATTCTGGACCTGGATCTGCCCAAAGAGAAAGCAAAACTATTGAGTTCAAGATTGGAGCAATGGAACTTCTTACAACCTGGTGTAAAAATTACAATGTATAGAAATCATCAGAAAGACTTGAACCCCTTTTTTAAAAAATATGAGAATCTTGTTGCCTGTTTTTTTTTTGTTTATTTATTTATTTTGTTCTTCCCTACCTCGCGTTTTATGCTGAACGGGGTTTTCCCGGGAAAGGAATTTAAAATCCAGCATCAGGCAAATTCGTAGTTTTTATTTAATATCTCATAACTTTGGTTATCTGGTTGCCGGGCAACTCGTGGTGCTGTGCACACATATTAGTCCATTCGGCCGCCTGCCCCTCATTGTTGCCTGATGTGATGTCCCAGGTCTTAAATCTTAAATAACAGCATTAAATCTCAATTACAATCCTTCTGAATGGAGAATGTTCTTAGATTCATCAAAGCTATCCCTTAAGGCAGTTCTGTTGCACAATGGAACTTTAATTCCCTCTATCCCTGTTGGCCTTGCTGTCCACATGAAGGAAACTTACCAAAACATTGAAACCCTTCTAAAATCAATCGAATAACAAGACTACCAATGGCAAATCAGTGGGGACCTGAAAGTGGTGAAAGGAATATTGTTTCTTATGTGAGTGGAACAGTCGGGAGAGAGCATCTCATTACATCAGGAAAGAATGGCTTCAGAGGGAAGTCCAGACCCGTGGAGAAAAAAAATGTTCTCTACAACCATCTTGTGGGCACAAAAAAAAAAAATCATTTTGCTTTTACTACATATAAAGTTAGGGCTCATGAAAAATGTTGTCAAAGGAATGGACCAATCAGGAGAGGCATTCAAGTACTTGAGAGGAAAATTTCTTGGCTTAAGTGAAGCTAAGGTTAAAGAGGGTGTATTTGTTGGTCCACAAATCTGTGAGGACTTTAATGACGGGGAATTTTTTAATATTCTTCAGGGTAAAGAAATAGCAGCGTGGGAAGCATTTACAGCTTTATTTAATGGTTTATTGGGTAATAATAGAGAGGACAATTATGCTGTCTTATTCCAAACCCTCCTTGGAAAGTACAGAAATCTCGGTTGTAACATGTCACTCAAGATTCACTTTCTTCTCTCTCATTTAGACTTCTTTCCCGAAAATTGTGAATCTGTAAGTGAGCGATTTCACCAAAATATATTCTTGATGGATCAAAGATATCATGGAAGGTGGGATACCACAATGCTCGCAGACTAATGTTGGAACGTTGTGAGGGATATGCCAGAACCTCAGTACAATTGTCAAGCAAAGAAGAAACGTTCTAAATAAGCTGTACAACAGCGCTGTTCTTGCCGAGAGAAGTTGTAATTTTATGTTTTGTTGGTTCTAAAAGTATTCCACAAATAATAAAGCACTTTTAAAGCATAAAAAATTATCGTGTAACTTACAATAACTTAATTTTTTGTATTCAATACTGGGTATAAGTATCTGCAGGATGGTAGCTAATAAAAGGATTCTGATAAAAAATTCAAGTTTCCCATGCGAAAATTAATCAAGAGAAACAATTTTTATTGAAGATTTATGCAAAAAAAATTTTTTTTTGGGCAGTGAATAACATTTTGATAGATTGGATTTAAACACTCAAATAATTGTATTACTTTTCAATCAATATATTCAGCTACTACTTACTGCTACTAAATATATATATAATTATATATATATATATATATATATATATATATATACATTAAGAAATTAAAAATTATTGACACAGCACCTCAGGCTTGCGGTATTCAGTTTAAGAACCTCTAGTTTAAGAAACTCTACTGGTATTATTAATTGTCTAAGACTGTGGCATATTGCAATGTATGTGACTAAAGAAGCTTCAATAAAAAAAAGTAATGGATAAAAAATATTTTAAAGGAATCAAAAGCCTTGAACTTCACTACGAATTGTTACAGGATGACATTAGAATTCTTTTGCCATTGATTGACTTGATAATTAATCCAGATCAAAATTTTCCCATATAAGATACAAAATTGAATATCAATGAGCCAGCTTTCTAATATGGCAATAATCAGATAGAAATAATGGAGGATATAACCATGGAATTCGTCAAAATGTACCAGGAGAGGATTGGCAGTCAACATGGCAAGAAGGCCCTTCTGCCATTGATCTTTCAGTTGATGTCGATTCTTTTTAGGGGTAAAAAAAAAAAGATTAAATAATCTTTTTTTTTTTAATAAAAGCGCAAAGGTAAGATTTTTAAAAAATAATAACTAATTTAAGTTTAAACAAATTTATAAAGAGAAGGATGATCACCCCAATCATCCTTCTCTTCATTATTCACTACAGTCAACCATCAACCCACAATTATTAAACAAATTTAAATTAGTTTTGGCTATGATACTTGAAAATGTCATCAAGAAATGAATATATATATTATCATTATTTATTAGATGTTATCATTTTAAAAGTAAATATTGGAAATTTAGGTGATTAAATAACCTTATTAACCTTTAAAAATACGGGTTATTACTATACCTACTGTGCAATATCATATTTAAATATGTGTGTGCCGTTGTTTGTTACAATCTGTATCCAATGTTTTATCACAGAAAAAAAAAGGAATAAAGTAAATAAACGTTATGTTTCATATTTTCTCATAGTTTACATACAATCATCCTTGAGAAGAGCAAACATGCGTATTATTAATAAATTATAAGTTAATAAATATATTATAGAACTTATAGTATATAGTATGCTTCTCCCTTTTCTGAATCCAGCTTGGTGGTCGCCCATTATATTCCCATAATACGGATATATATCCGGTTTAGTAGAATATTGGTCATTATCTTGTAGACAACCAGAAGGAGTGCTATGATTTTGTGGGAAGGAGCTGTCATTGAAAAATCATGACTGAACTGGGAATTCCCGGTAAGTTTGTGAGATTGACAAAGGCGTGTACAAATGACCCCAAATGATGAGTCTTAATACAAGGAAAAGTATCTGAAGCCTTCAAAGTTCGAATGGGCTTGTGGCAGGTAGATGGACTATCACAAAAAAACTGGAAGAGTTCACGTAAGAATGAATCATAAAATCCTTAGATACGCAGATGATATAGCTGTCCTTAGAAGTAATCAAGACATTGAGAAACTCGCTACAACACTGGTAAGAGAGGCAAAGCAGATCGGCCTACAAGTAAATGAAGACGAAACAAAATAAATGATAATAAGCCGAAAATTCCACCCCAATAACAGGATCTGCGTAGAAGGAAAATCAATACCGAGAGTAGCAAAATTCAAATACCTCATGGCTCCACAATAACATCAATGAATGACAGACAGGCAGAAATAGACCAGCATATAACTAGCGCAAACAGAGCTTTCTTCTCCCTCTCTAAGATATTAAAATGCCAAAACATCTCTAACTAAGGGTGTACAATGCTATGTACAATAAAGTCAGTTCTAATATATGGCTGTGAGACCTGGATACTTACCAGCACCCTAAACAAAAGTGTTGAAAGATTTGAGAGTAAAATCCTCCGCACGATAACCGAATCGATCTGGGATCAGAGTACTAACACATGGAGAAGAAAGACCAATAATGAACTGCTTACAGAAACTGGTCAATCAATATGCCATGATATGAAGGCACGGAGGTTAAGATGGAGGGCCATGCAGCTCGTAGCAATCTATCTAGAAGCCTCTAAGAAACAATGAATGCCTCAATAGAAGGCAAAAGATAAGGTGGAAGGGCAAAAAGCAGAGGGATGGATAGAATCAATAAAAATACAAAAGAGCTGCATCCAGATAAATGGAAGAAATAGCCCAAGACAGGCAGAGATGGAGTAGGATTGTTACAGCGGCAAAAGATCTACATGGTCTGTAATGCCAAGGAAAAAGATATATGTATTATAAAAATAAATAAAAAAACAATTAAGAGATCTGAAATTAATTTATCTTTATCAGCTATTTAAAGTGGTTAGAAAATAATCATATTGATGGTAGTAAGTAAACAATGACAATGCTTTTCACTCTAATGTTATTCAAAATTTCAGATTCATTATTAAAGCTTAAATATAATTCTATATAAAACTTCAACTCTTGAAATTGATTATAGTTAATTTTAATTAGAAAATAAAGATATTTAAACTTACATAGAGCTAAAAACAAAACTAACTGAAAATTTCCATGATTTCGTGTCAATAATGCAGTAAGAGTAACTGCAATATGAAATATTACAATGCCAATCACAAAGGGTTCTCTCCAATCAATCTGAAAGAGATAATAATAAAATAAGAAGATTATTGGTAGAAAACTTAATGGATACAAATTAAAGGCAAAATTAAACCAAATGTCAAAATATAATAACATAATTTCAGTCAATTGCAAAAAGTCAGTAAGAATATTTTTGATAGATCTTCTGTTGAAAATAAGCAGTTATTAATTTCCATCATATTTATTTATATAGAAACTCATTAAGTACAACTAAGTAACACATTTTATCAATTGTCAAAAATAATTTAACCAAGTGCACTATGTTCTGATTAAAAAAAGAGAGAATGTTGAGGTTACTTAGTGTTCCAATTTAATTTTAATTTAAATCAATTAAATTAAATCAATTTAATTTAACTTTTTGACTTCTTAGAATAAATTAAAGATATATCAAGTTTATAAAATATAAATTTTAGTTTTTTTTTTTTTAAATATCTGTTCACATCTAGTAACATACATGAAAAATGATTGCAATACAATTAATGAGGCCAAATTATCAAAACAATAAGCTTATTTAAAAATTCCTAAATATTCAAATGACTTCAAGCTCTTCTAAAAGTAAATGAGCACATGATTAATCATTAATTAAGAGTGACCTTAGATACAATATTTTATGCAAAGATACATGCAAGTGATTTTCTGCAACTAAATAATATTTAAAACTAAAATAATTTTAGAATTAATTAATGATAGTGATACTAAAATAAATTAATGTAAATTGTATATCTAAATATTTAATAGAAACATTTAAATGGTCAGAAACCTGACATAATTGGCCCAATAATAGTTCTTGGTGGCTCAGTTTTTAAAAAAAATAACTTCTAGCCAATACCATCTAGACTCAGTAAGAATGTAATTGAAACTCTTATTAATTCAAAACTATTGTATCAGTGAAACTTAATTTAATGGCACCACTTAGAAATTATTGTATTCTTCTACAAATTACCTTATTAGTTGTCAAAACACACTTCAAATTTTAAATAATAACATTAACTTTTATGATAATTTCATACTAATATTAGATAAGTTTTAACTGATAATAGTTACACTGATCCAATGTTTTGACAATGAAATCAATTTTATAGTAACTAAAAATAACTTCCTTCTTATCAGAGATAACAAAACCATTAACATCTAACCAATTGCCCATTTAGAGGGAGAACGCTTGGCAAAGAATCATTGCTTTTAGTTTTTTTTAAAACAAAATAAAATTCAACAATGAAGTCATAGAATAAATAAATATGTATATATGACGATGATAACACTATAAATTTGACCTATACTTAATCGACACTAACTGTTATGATAAAAATATTCATTAAGTTATCAACTGTTTATATTTAATATTATTGGATGTCATCAACACATAACTCAAATGTCACTTAATGTAAACAATGATCAATATGACATTTATTGTAATAATGAAAAAAATAATTCAGGAATCATGATAAATTTCATAAATATTTTCATATTCTGAATTTCAAAATATAGTCACCTATATTTTACAAGAAAATAACCCATAATATTTCTAAACCTTTTCACCTTACAAATCAATAACTATTATATTATTTGAAAAATCATACCACTTCAGAGTTCATCTGAGAAATGTATTTTATAAATAATAAAAAATACATTTTGAAAGCACAGATATAGAGTTAAATGGGCCTATATGCAGTCTGATTGGGACGTAATTTTTTCAATTAAAACACATACAATTTTTTTACTTTAAAACTTACATCAGAAAGAATTGTCCATAGATTAAAATCTGCTGAGCTAGTCGTTTGAAACATGTTTATTGGATATAAAAGAGAATTTCATTCCCAACAAAACAATAATGTAGTGTAATTATCACAAAGTTCAGGAACTATCCGTAAAGGCAGTAAGATAAAGCACTTCGAACTGACAACCGTAGGACTCGTAATCCTAAACTAACACTTTTGACGAAATATAACCAGAAAACAATCTCAAAACATCTGTTGACATATCGATGCAAATCTTCTGGTATGTTTGGCAAGACCGAAGAAGATATAATATATTTATCAGATCTTAATATTGCTTAATTTTGTATTTAAATTTGTGCATATCACATTGAACGAATCCTGATTTAAACGAAACATGGAGAAATCATTTTGCTAATAAAAATGTTTTTTGCAAATTTAAGTGATCGAAGAGGCTTTGGTTAGCCATCTTGTATTCGAGGTCGATAATTGTAGGCGTCTGTTCTTTTGTTTTATGATACTATTAAGGATTTTAGAGTGTATTTGAATTAGTTTCATAAGTTACTGATTAAAGTATATTTAATAGTAATTTGCGAAATGGTGAAGTTAGCTCGCGGTGGTATGAACAACAGCAATAGAGGAAGGTCGAAGCCTAGACCTTTGTTTCCACCCGGTGAACTGCCACTATTTGGTCCTCCACCAGCTTACATGAGAAGACCAGGACCTCCAATACCACCTCCTGCTAGAGGTCCTGTAGGATATGATTATGGTCCTCCGCCTCCACCTCCAATGCGGTTACCACCACATCTTGGACCCCCAATGCCACCTCCACCACACATGCCACTGAGGGGTCGCCCCGGCCGGCCGCCACCACCAATGCCACTTCTTCAGGCACCTGTCATGCCTCCTAGACCACTACCATTTTTAAGAGGTAGAGGCATGGGGCCTAGGATGGGTCCTGGAAAGAAACTTGGAAAGGGTATTAAAAAACCAAAGAACCGTAGAAACAAAAAAGGAGCCCCGACCACCTCTCAGAACAAACCTGAGGTAAGTTTATTATTACTTCACTTAAGCAACTGTGAAATAACCAGAATGTGTACAATGTCTTTGAGTTACTATATCCTATGCAATGCATTTCCATTTTTCTGTGATCTGTGCCCATAGACTTTTTTTTTTACCATCAACCTAGTTAAATCTGAGAGAAAACCTGTGATTCTTTTATTTGTCTCAATTATCATTTAGTTAGCATTCCATTCTTAGTTGGTATCCTTTTTTTCAACTTGCTGTTGATGCTTTTTATACTGATGATAGAATCAGAATTATAAAACACTATATGGAATGCTGAAAGTAGCCAAGTGCTTCTTTTGACAGGTAAGGGTAGGTTACATTTTGATCAGTTTATTTTTCTAATCAAATGTCAAATTAACAATTTTTGTGTTTTCAATTGACAATAATGAAGGCTCTCTGTATGTAATACAACATAACTTATTCAACAATAATTGTGAAAGTGAGATGCGATACTATTGATTAAAGTGAAGAAAGAAACAACAAATTTAATCAATATCTCTATGCAATCAGAAATTATTAAGATTAGAAGGAAATACTCAACAAAATTTGTAAATATATGTATTGTATTTTTGTTGACTTCAGCCGAAATAGAGAAGTTTACTCAAGTTTTTTTGTTATTATAATTTGTATTAAGCAAACATAGTTTCTTTGTCCATTCATTAATTTAATCTCTTCATTTTACAAATAGATGTCACCACCTTGTCCAGTGCTTTAAGATCTCTTGTTCATATTATAAATGAGATTCTGAGGAGTGACATGTATACTGTATAACCTTCATGTTTTAAGGCAAACTACCTGCTGGTCCTTTTTATTTAAAATTGGTACATTGATTAGTTTTAATACCATTGCTGCTTGCTTTTAAGAGGCAAACAAACCCCCAATGGATCCTTTTCAGTGTAGGTCAGGGCCTTACTAGAGGGTTCCGTCTACTTTCGAACACATTAATATTCTCGGGATTCCATTTATGGTGTTATAAAGAGAAATTGCACCACTGACAAAAGTGGAGTGACATTTGTTTCAGGAGTACCCTCAGTTATATTATTAAAGTTTATTTTTTAATTGTGCTTTAAATATTTTAAATTATATTTTACTAAGTGGTCTCCGGGTGTACCTTACTGCTATCAGATTTATAATACTTGCTATATACCTATTTTATATTTAGTTACATAAATAAGTAAGTTTTATTTATATCTCCAGAGCAATTTATTTAGTTGCTTATTTTGGGAATATAAGCTATCATAAGACAGAAGTCCATTCATCGTTTTGGAGTGACACTTGATTAATAGTACATTAATAATCTTTAACCTTCAATTCAGTACTACTTCAACGTCACTACAGTATGATGACTGATTTGAGATCATAATGCCCATTCCTAAAATTGAGAAGACTGATCTCCTTGGTAAGGTCTTGATCTTAGCAGGAAAGGATCTGTTATGCATTATTATTTCTTTTGAGCAAGCAAAAATCAAAGTCATGATTAATTAAGTAGAGAATACATACTTGAACGCCGTGGTCAATTCCAGGCATTATAGTTTTACCTTAAATTCTAATGCAGTATCCTGATTTCGAAGATAAAGGATTTAACAAAGGAATTGACGTTTAATTATTGGAATATTATATCTCTATATTGGCATTTTATTTTGAGTATTTATTATCATTAGAATGAAAGAACATTGTAAGTCAGTTAATTATATCAATTACCACTTCAGACACTTTGCATCTTTGTTCAAATCTTGAAGCTTCTGTTTCCTTTCAAACTTCCACTGACCTGACTTGGTTTTTAGATTGATTCTTTAGAATATTTAATAATTAAACTGATGCATCTCTACCTAGAACAGGACCTACTGGGGATTTTTTGTTAATATTCTTAGTAAGCTTTGAGAGCAGTTTGCTGACTTTCATGATCTATTTGAACTAATGATTATTTTTATTATCACTAAAATATTCTATTAACTGGCATTGCACCCCTTCATCTACTTCCAGACATATTCAGCTACTTTGACATTCCATTTAGAGTTGGATCAGTATCATTTTGGTACATCTGACATGCAGGATTATAACACCATAGCATAGTTACCAAAAAATATATTAAGCATTTCTTACGGTTTTCTTTATTAAAAATGAAGGTCTAATATGATAGTATGACCAAGTACAAGATGATTACCGCAAGATGAGAGCGGAAAAGAGATTACATTACTAGATAATAGTCTAGTTTCGATTCCTTTAAGGTTAGATTTGTTAACCAGTTTTATTATTTATTGTTTATGCCTGAATATCATACTAACATTTACAAAACATGATTATTATATTGAAATATCTAATTTGGAAAATAAATTTTGAGTTAATTTGATTGATAGGTCGAGTGAATTAATGTGATTTTTGGAAAAAATTCGACTATTGATAAAGTAATATATTTTTAATATTCCATGTTTCAACTTATTTACATTCTTAAAAGTGTTACATAACATAATATTTTTAACATTCCAAAGAAATATTAATATTGTTGCCTCTTGTTGCAATTTGGGGAATTTTTCACTAAATCTCACTGAATTTTGACTCAATTTTTTGCCAAAGGTGTTGCATTATGAGTTTCTCTCAAAGCAACTTTCCGAAAAGTGAAAGTTATTCAATTAATAAACACTACCAATATCTCGTTATCACATTTACTCCGTGACTTCCCATCCTTTCTCATCTAGAAAGAAAAAATCTCTGCAGCTAAGGTTGCATTTAGGCTTGTAGCAGCAATATATTTTGCTCCTTTTTTAAAAAGAAAAAAAAAAGTTTCTTAAATAAATTTGGATTTAATTTAGTTTTAAACAGTATTGTCATACTTAAAGCCAATGTATAGCTATATAACGGAATGTCTCATACTGTCATCTTTTATGGAGCTAGAGGCAAAGGAGATTTTAGAAAAATGTAAGGGCTTGTTCTTTAATGAAGATAAGATCTTCAAAACCATTTGATTGTTTTTGATATAATGGGTGGGAAACAAAGTTAGTTTCGTTTGTCGTACTTTAAAAACCCTTATTTAGCAATAAAAAAATTAAGAGTTTTCTCTTAAGTTAAATCTTTCAAAAGTTTTTTTATTACCACAAAAATTGTGTTAACTTCAAGATACACACAACTTCAACCATCCACACAATAATTATCCTGGATTAAGGACTTTATGAGAAGTTTTTATATATTTTTATCTTATAACGAAATAAAATATGAGGGTTATTTATATGGGTTGGAAGAGCAGTAATTCAGTTTGCCAACTGTTGTGGCAATGTTGAATTAGGAGTTATAAATGCTTTAGTAAATAACATTTTTCAATAGAATGAAGTCCAAAAATTATATTTTTTAATTTCAAAACAAATTCATATTTAAGAGTTTTAAAGGACCTTAAAAGCAAAGCCGAATTGCTTTTTCATGACAAATTTATTTGTCCTACTTCAGTGGAAATTTCTAAAATAATTTATTTTACGTTATAACACTACTGTTAATGCAAAAGAGGTATATAACAATTTTCCATGTTAATTTTATTTGTGTTAAAGGTGGCATTTTGTAGTCTACATCTGCAATAAATAGTATGCTACAACAGAAAACAGTATCGGGAAATTATATAAATAAAAAATTAAGAAATATTCAATTTTTTAATATTTTTTTTTTTTAAATTTCAATATTCCTTTTCTCTGTTTTACATTTTATTCTAAGATTACCATTTTCATACTTATTTCACCTTATTTTGATTATGTTTACTTCATTAGTCCACACTTTGTAACCGTTAGTATTATTATTTATTTATTTTATTGTTATTACTATTATTTATTTATTAGTTCTTGTTATTGTCATTATTCTACCAACTTCATTTTACTTAAAGTTTTTTACCTACATTGTTTATGTTTCTCATACCTTGTTATCTGGTTCTTTTCTTATCCCTGATGAAGGCCTGAACTTTGGGTCAAAACGTCGGCAAATGTTAAAATAAATATTATTATTTATTTTTGACTGATCACACCAATCATCCTTCTCTTCATTATTCACAACAGTCAACCCACAATTAAGAAATATTCAATTTTTACATATGACCTTTTGCACTAACAATAGTAATAATTCGTTTAATGCAATCAGCAATGTGTTTTTCTTATTTTACGCAATCAAACCAATCAATCGATGTATCTTCACATGAAAATGTGGGCAAATCAAAGAGAAAAAACTACAATTTTTGGAATTTTATAAAATTAACTTTTTTCTTGGCTTCTAAGACCTACTGGAACAAAAGCTGGGGCATTAGTCTAATATTTTTTTATGTAGAAACACCAAAATAAATTTGATTAAAATCAGTAATCCATTGCCTTTCACCTCCCCTGGTTAGCGATTTAATTTTATGAAATTTTATTTAATGAATTTTCGCTATGCACCTCTAATATTAATATTAATATTAAAAGTTTTTTTTTTATACATGAACTCATAATTATTTTATCATGTTATCTTCAGTTTATCAGATAGCCAGGCAATGCGTACAGCCAGCTCGGCTGCTCCACCCAATCTCAGCTCATTGTCACAGGCTAAACGACATATATAGATAAAGGTGTATTAAGATTGCATTTTCATTAGTGAGTGGAGGAATTAAGTTAATAATCAAACAATGGAATCAAGTATTTAGAGTTATGAATTCAAATATTTTTATGTTGTTCACTAAACCTCATCCAACCCAAAAGGGTTACTTTAAAAGGAATTTTATGTCAAACGTGCATATTTGTATTGATTTTATTGTTAAAGTATTAATGCAAAAATGTTAAAACTGTTCGCAGAATACAGTAGACTCCCATTTATCCATCTTAATAGTGACCAATACATTATCAGTTGATCAGAATTGTATCAAATAAACAAAAACTTCAGTTTGAATTTTACTTTTACGCAAGGTTAGAAGTAAATTAATGTGCAAAATTCATGTTTGGAGTTAAGTTTACAAGACGATTTATTATAATTTAAAAACAATTTTTTTCAGGCACATGATAATTTATGTGTACTAGCAAGTGTTCCATTCTTAATTTAAGTCACCAAGTCAGTTACTTGATATTTATCATTTTACTGAGCTTCGTTTTTTCTCAGCACCATAGTCACTTCTTTATCAAAATATTAACCAACACAAATTTAAAAGAAAAATACTGAAGCTCCCGTGGGATTCTACTGTATTTATATTTGCTACTTTATTCTTTCAATATTTTTATATTGAAACTTAATATTAACTAGTAATATTATTACTAGAATTATTTTTATTCTGAAAATGGATTATAATATAATAGGAGGCTGCTAAAGCAAATGAGGAAGAAGTTAAGAAGGAGGAAGAAAGTATTTTAAATGGGCCTTGGATAAATGATAGCATCAAAACTGAAATTGAAAAAATGAATGATTTGAAGAAAAAATCAGATGAAACGAAAAATTCCTCAGACGTCGACCTCTATAATGAGCAACAAAAAAAGGTTAACTCTATGGCATCTGCTGCAAAAATGGAATACATTGGAAGCCAACCCGATAGTAATGTGAGTAAATTGGAAATATTCCATCTTTATTGACTTTAGAGTGTAATTATTATCTTTTTATATCCTAACTTAAAAAAAAAATTTACAATAATTTAATGTAATATATAGTAAGTGTAAGTATTCCAATCTTGAAAATTTTTGAATATCAATTTTCAACAGAAATACACGTTTTGAGGTCCCCTGAGTCCAAATAACCAAGTCCCGAGAAATGGTCTGTGTGTATGTGAACACTAAAGCTCGAAACCGAAAAGTCGTACGAAACTGGTATTACATATTTAAGATAGATATATGCCGTAGATGTCCTGGCAACTTTTTCCTTAAAATCAGCTTACCGGAAGTGCCACTTTATATCATCACTGAAATACATTTTTATAATTTTCTTAAAAATGGCTCTTTAACGATTTTGATTAAACTCAGCATATCGTCGTATAATTAAGTCATGTTACAAATTCTTCGGCTAACCGAAAGTGCCACGTTATATCAATGGTCATACACATTTCTATAATTTTCTCGAAAACGGCTCTTACAATTTTGATTAAAGTCGTGTATCAATCTATAATTTAGGTCTTATATTTAAATGTCATTTAGGTCTTATCCCCATTGATGTCACTTTGCAGGGCTTAAATGCCCAATGTTCATATGCGTGTTCCTCTAAAGTACCTTTAATATGGTTTATTTTAAATAATCAACTATCTCTCATTATTTAAAGTTACGAAAAAATGCTAAATATAACTTTTGAAAGAATTTGATAATTGAATAAAGGAGAAAAAAATAAAAATGCTTATACAGGTCGAAAATGAATCTCCGGAAATACAAGTCAGAAGACATACTTATAATATATCGTTGGGAAGCTGAGAATTTTATTTAAAAAAAAACAATATCTAATATAGAAAGTTGTAGAAGGTAACAGAAAAAAAATTATTAATAATAATTTTTGAAAACTGATAATATTTAATGTTAATCACATGTTTTCAAGGAAATTTACTAACTAAATGTAAACTTTGAAAAATATTTTTACGTTTTCAGAAAGTATTTTAAATCCACGTAATTAAGGCAATGGCATTGTTAAAAAAAACTATTTCATTGTACTCTTGTAAAAGAAGAAGTAAAATATAAAATCATTTCATGGATGTATAAAGCATATTTTTTATAACCTTAAACACATTTACTATAGTTTAGTGATCATAGATCTGATATTATATTTAAATAATTAGGTATCAACGTTTATTCCAAAAAATTGTCATGTAAATTTTTAGAGAATTAAATTATTCAATAATTTGATGAATCTTCCCTTTGTGATATTCCAACTATATCCACTACTATTTCATTGTACTTGTGTGAAAGAAGAAATGAAATATTAAAATATTTCATAGATACGTTTATAACCTTGAAATATAAATATATAGTTTAATAACTCTAGATCTGATATTATATTTAAATATTCAGGTATCTATCATCCGTTTATTCCAACAATCATCATGTAACCTTTTAGAAAATTAAATTAGTGAATAATTTGATAAAATTTTCCTTTATGATATTCCAACAGAATCCACTTACAATTAATGTGACAACTTTTGACCTGTCTATGACAGACAATGCAAATCTCTTAATTCCTTTGTAATAAACTTTACAATGAAAAATAACAGTTTAATAACTAATAGTCGTACAATCCATAATCAACGGATCGAACAATCCATAATCAATGAATCGGACAATCCATAATCAACGAATCCTAGAATCCATAATCAACCGGTGATATAATAAATACGACTTTTGTTATTTTAATAGTATTTATGATTTGTTAGATGCAATCTTATAGCTTTAGCTCTATTAAAAATGCAATTCAAAAATTCTATAATAGGCCAACATGGCCAGAAAATAATTTCTATTCAAAGTTGAGCAAAGTTCAAAGAGTAAGTGAAAGTTGTGTGTCGCGCGCACCAGATTTTTACAGTTTTAACAGTCGATACAGCCTCGTTTTTGTGTGAATATTAGTTTTACGGTTCAAAATTTCAGTACGATAAGATTTCTTTTATTATTAATTGTTTTGTTTTTTTAATTTAAGGTTGATGATAAGGCAGAAGAAAAGAATGGAACTGGAGAACAGAAGTGAGGCTCTATTAGTCTTTAAACTGTAAAGTTGTATATTTTGAAATCTGCAATTAAGTTTCTCGAAAGAATTTAATTTCAAAGAGGAAAAAACTAACTATTTGTACATATAGAGTATCAGTTCAGATTTTATATATATATTTATATTTATTAATTTTATTTTTTAAAAATTATTTTTCTCAAAGTCATTGGCAGATTGATTGAGAATATTTTTTTCTTGTTATGGCAATTTATATGTAACTTACATAAACAATTCTTTTCATGAAAAGATTTTTTAATGTTAACATTTAATTATATGTATATTGTGAAATATAGCTAGTTATAAAAAAAATAATAAATAAAATTTAAGATCTTTTGGAACTTGAGATTCATTATCAATGTAATTTGTTAAAGCCCATTAAAGTTATTTTCAATCAGTTGTTTTACCTTAAAAGAATATTATTACTTGATATAATAACTGTCGAATTTCAACTTTTTCTTTCATGAATGGACATAAGAATTTGTAGAGAACACAGTTTAGTAATTTTTTTGTAGCACTATTTTATTAATTTCATCAAATTGTTGTAAGCTACTTTTTTTTCATTTTAGTAGCTTTATATTTAATATATATATTATATAGATATTTAATAAATGTGTGCTTTGAATTAATTTCAATAAACTATTATTCAAAAATTGTCCACTGTCCATAGTTTATTCATTTACTTAATTATCTCATTGACTAATTCAAAATTGTCCCAAGGCATTCATTGTTATTGGTAGCCCTTGATTGCTTGCCACTGTAAAATCTCAATAAGCAGCCATTATTGCATGCACAGATTCAATCTGTGACTTTATGGAGTCGAAAGGACGGTGGATTTTGGATGCAAACTGAGTAACTTTTCTTACTCACCTCTCTTCAAACCAGTAAGTTTTCATTAAAATCTTATCTAAAGTCTCCACAGAAAAAGTGGCAATCTGTAATTAATTATGCATGTAAGTAATTCCCTTCGTTTCTTAATCTTAGTATTTTGTTTATTATGATACAATTTTAATTTTCTGGACTTACAGTTGTAAAAAGTTAATAAGAATTCCCTGAGTTGTTTTCTTTATTACATACAAATTTGCATTGTCCTCAATGATGGGACATAGTCCTGTTAAATCATTTAATGTCTTTACTGTTACTTTATTTTATTTGTTTTCTTATATCATATATTACGAAAAATGCAATGTTCAAATTCTTTTAATTTAATTTGAATTTGAATTTTTTTCTGTGATTTTACTAGATTTTTATTTATGATAATAATAAAATAAACACATATTTATAGCTGGTTATTTCACATTACAATAAAAACAAGTTTTAAAAAATATATTTTTTAAGAATTTACTTAGTTGTATTTTATATTATGTTTTGTTTGTTAGGGAGACTATTACTGTGAGGTATGCGATCGTAGCTGGATGACTCCAGAAGAACTTGAAGTTCACATATCTGAACATATAACTTGCCATTTTGAAGGCTGTTTCTTTAAAGGTGCTCCTAAAATTGTTGCTTTACATGTCAAGCTTCAGCATGATTCTGGTATGTTTGATAAAATTGTTAAATCAAGCAACAAAGAAGATATTGAAAAATGGAGAGAAGAGAGGAGAAGGTATCTAAGTCATTTCAAATATTTTCATGAATAATGTACTAACTACTTGTTAATAAATGAATGTCATCTGTAGATGAAGTTGTTGTGGAAGTTATCATTAACTAGAACTTGAATAATGATATTTTATTTATATTTATAAAATTATTATTAGTTTTAGTCCAGTATTAGTAATTTTAACTCGTATAACCTTCATTATCGAGGAGTTTACATTCAAAAGTTGTATATATGACTGATCACTGATAAAAACATTTAATATTTTCAGTGCCGGGGCCGCCTGTGGATTTTTTATTTATTTTATACAAAATGACATTTTTTTATCCAAATTAATTTATAAAACACTGACAAAAAATTATTCTTTTTTTTCCGCAACCTCTGCCATAGATTATCTTCTCTTTATCAGAAGGTACAAATGTTGCGATCATTAAAAAGTTGTCATAAAACCAATAATTTTCAATATTTTTTGGATAATTTGAACTCTATATGATGTATGTTCATTTGCATTTAAATTTTGAACTGAGCCAGAAAAGATTTAATAATTTAGAATTTTAAATTTTATTTGTTATAAGTTACTTTATCATGTTACAAATGTTCCTTTCAGCTCTGTAATTCTTTGTGTTATTATTTTAATATAATTGATCGCACAAAAATTTAATGAAAACGATATAAATTAGTCGGGGGTGCAGTAAAAAAAAATACTATATTTTATAATCCGTCCTCGGGCCCTTTTTGTGAATCGGAATAAGAATAGATTCTTTCCATTCCTCTGGTAATTTCTCATTCACCCAGATCTTTTTAACCAACCGATGTATTTTAGAAACTCCAGCTTCCCCGCATGCCTTAATTAGTTCAGTAGGAATATTATCGCTTCCCGCTGCTTTATAAGATTTTAATTTTCCGATAGCTACTTCAACTTCCTCTTTACTTGGTCCTTCTATTAACGGTTCAGCACTCTGGTACTCAGAAGGAGGACACAGATCATAATTAATTTCACTCCTTCCGGCATGTTATAAAATATTCACTTTAATCTTAACCAGTCGAATCACGGAATACGCCGAGGAAATTATCGTAGACTACCAATGCGGATTTAGACGGAATCGTTCAACTATTGATCAAATATTTTCTTTACGGCAAATATTATAGAAAAAATTGGAGTATAGCGGTATTATTCACCAGCTGTATATAGATTTTAAAAAGGCTTACGATTCTATTGACCGCCAGAAACTGTATAATATTCTAATCGAGCAGAGGATTCCAAAAAAGCTAGTAAATGTAGTGAGGATGTGCTTGACGGAGACACTCAATAAAGTTAGAATCGGTAATAATCTGTCTGAAAAAATTTGAGGTTCGTTCGGGTTTAAAACAGGGGGATTCCCTTTCGCCTATCCTGTTCAATTTGGCATTAGAACATGCCATTAGGGAGGTAATGCGTACTGAGAAAGGGTTGGATCTGGGTGGGACAACATCCGTGCTGGGCTATGCTGATGATCTGGTACTGTTAAGCGAAGACGTTGAAACTATAAAACTAAATACGACAACGTTAATGAAAGCCGGTAAAAAACTAGGACTCGAAATAAACGTGGATAAAACAAAATATATGGTTAGCTGAAAAAATGGCGATACTACTGGTGATATCGATATAGACGGTAATATGTTTGAACAGGTAGATAAATTTAGGTATCTAGGTTCTACGATAACTAGAAAAAACGAAATTGAAGAAGAGATTAAGGTTAGACTGAAGGCGGGAAATGCTTGTTATTTTTCTGTGACAAAACTACTCAGTTCGCGCCTCTTGTCCCGGAACTTAAAAATTAGAATCTATAAAACAATTATCTTGCCTACAGTTCTTTATGGATGCAAAACTTGGCCGCTTACATTAAGGGATGAGCAGCGTCTTAAGGTTTTTGAAAATAAAGTATTGCGTAGAATATTCGGACCAAAGAAGGATGAGTTAACCAGAGAGTTCAGACGGTTACACAACGCCGAATTGCGTGAACTGTATCCGGGTTATATAATTAAGGTAATTTCCTCACGGCGAATCAAATGGGCTTGTAAAGTTGTTGAGCTTGGTAACGAGAGAATTCCTAAAAGGTTAATATTTGCTGTGCCGAATGGTAAGCGCCCGAGGGGTAGACCGAAGCGAAGGTGGGAAGATTGCATTAAAGCCGATCTGAAGGGACTGGGTTTGGACGGCGAACGGTGGAGGGAGGTGTGTAATAAGTGATTGATGGTGTCGGCATCGAACCTTCGGGTTTGCTAAGCCTTTTATTATTTATTATATTTTATAATATACTATTATAAAATACAGTTGTTTTTTGTTTGTTTTTTTACCGCTCCCCCGACTAATATCTTGTGAAATTGAAGCCACGGTCGAGCATCTCCATATCATTATATAAACATAATATAGTGACACATGTTACAAACTTCTCAAAGTTACTTCCACAACTAATAAAACTGTTAGAGAAGATAAACCAAATGTTGGAGCTTGTAACATTTATCAATTTAACAGGTACTTAAACAAAAATTTAAACATATATATTTATAGTAAAAACTAAACCAATGAATGTAGGCAAAATTAAAGTTACCCTCCCAGCACTGGGCAGATTAGGTATGCACTTATTGGAAATTTTTACTTTCACTTACATATATATAATAAGGAAAAGTATTGCAATCGTGAAAATTTTCGAATCTGATTTGTCAACAGAAATACACGTTTTGAGGTCCCCTGAGTGCAAATAACCAAATCACGCAAATGATCTGTGTGTGTGTGTGAACAGTCTACCTCAAAAACGAAAAGTGGTAACTAATTTTACTTATTTGAGTTTGTAGATGCCTTAGATGTTACAAATTCTTCGGCTAACCGAAAGTGCCACGTTATATCAATGGTCATACACATTTCTATAATTTTCTCGAAAACGGCTCTTACAATTTTGATTAAAGTCGTGTATCAATCTATAATTTAGGTCTTATATTTAAATGTCATTTAGGTCTTTTCCCCATTGATGTCATTTTACAGGGATTAAATGCCCAATGTTCAACATGTCTTCTTCTAAAGTACCTTTAATATGGTTTATTTTAAATAATTGACTGTCTTTCATTGTTAGCAGTTATGAGAAAATTCTAAATATAACTTTTGAAAGAATTTGATAATTGAATAAAGGATGAAAAATGCTTATTAGGTCGAAAATGAATCTCCGGAAATAATAGTCAGAAGGTATATGTATAATATATCATTGTAAAGCGGATAATTTTAGAAAAAAACAGTATCTAATATAGAAAGTTGTAAGAAGTAATGCAGAATTACGAAAAATTATTAATAATAATTTGTGGAAACTAATATTATTTGACATAAATCACATGTTTCCAAGGAAATTATATGAAATTTCCTAACTAAATGTAAACTTTTAAAATTTTTTTAAAGTTTGAAAAGAAAATTATTTAAAATACACAGAATTAAGGCAATAACATTGTTTAAAAAAACATTTCATTGATTGAAAGAAGAGAATTATAAAAATATTTTATGGATGTTTACAACATGTTTTTATAACCTTAAATAGATTTACTGTAGTTTTATAACTCTAGATCTGATATTATATTTAAATAATTAGGTATCTATCGCCTGCTTATTCCAAAAAATCATCTTTTAACCTTTTAGAAAATTAAATTAGTGAATAATTTGATGAATTTTCCTTTGTGAAATCTCGACATTATCCACTTAAAATTATTGTGACAACTTTTGAACTACCTATGGCGAGCTATGAAAATTTCCTAATTTCATTTTAGTGAATTTTACATTTAAATTTTAAATGTAAAATAACAGTTTAACAACTAGTAGTCGTACGATCCATAATCATTCATAGGTTAAATATACAGATGTACTTTTATATCTCTTTAAGTATATATGAGCCAATTGACAGAATGACTCCAATTTAAACATTTTTATTATTAATTGTAGTGTTATTTCTATTGGAAAATTTTATATCTTTATTCACAGTTCTTTACTTCAACACTGCAATCACATACTATGGAATCTACGTACTCATTGCCTATACAGTTATTATAAATTTCCCTACTAAATCATTTGTATGAAATATTACCAAAATGACATTAGTCTAAAATATTGAAATTAGAGTTAGTAATTGTACTGAAAGGCACATATATATAGCTCAGAGAATGGAGTTATGTGGTTTACAAAAACAAATGGAGTAACAAGGTTTTTATTGCCTACCGTCGAATTAATAAATAGGGCTTTTGTTATTTTACTAGTCTTAATGATTTGTTAGCTGTAAGCTTTGAGCTTTAGCTCCATTTAAAATACACTTAAAAAAATTTATAATAGCCCAACATTGCCAGAAAATAATTTCTATTCAAAGTAGAGCGGTAAATGGAAGTTGTGTGTTGCTTGCACTAGATTTTTTTCTGTTTGTTTAATTGCTTTAAACTAATGGAATAATAATATTCAATTAAATTACCAAAATTTATGTTTTACTAACATTTATGGACATAAAACACCTGAGTTGCTCCAATGATGTTTTTTTAAAAGAAAGAAAAATCACACTTAATGCAAATTCATTATGATGGGTTTATAGGATACGAAACATGTAATGTAATTTCATAAACGTATTTTTGCTTTAATGAGGAAGGTATATGTTAAAAGTTATTAGGTCCGGACAGATCTTACTTCATTCATAAGGTTAATAGTTTTCTTAACCTGCAGGTCACTTTTTAATTCTAAGAATATAATGTTACTGAATCCTGAACCATCCCCTCAATTTTAAGGCTAAAGGAAAACTCCATTGAAAGTGTTCTACTACTTTATTATCTGTAGTTATTTTATTTCCTATTTAATTATATTTTCACGTTATCATAGGAAGTTTCCAACACTGGAAAATATTGAAAAGAAGATAGCTGAACGAAAAGAAATGGAAGAAAGAGGAGAAAGAATAGAACCAAACATTAAATCATACAAAAGAAATCAGTCGACTAAGTATAATGTGAAAGGTAAGCATTTTTCTTAAGTTAAAAAAGAAGTAATTATTATTACTTTCTTGGAAATTATACTAGTTAACGACATAACTAAATACATGAATTGATTAAAACTTTTTAGACAAAGTTGAAGGAAAAAATGTCAACAATAAAAGGAAAAGAAATAAATTTCAAGATTTCAGAAATAATTCAGATAGTAAAGTTAAGGGTTTTAATCCTCAGTTTCTTAGTACAGGTTAGTATAATATATACATTTATTCTTTATTACTATTGTTTAATATTTACTTGTAGTAATATGTTAATGTTTTTTATTGTATTCACAGCTTTCCTGCCAGATGATATTGAAGATGCTAAAAATGATGAGGATTGCAATATAAGCGATGAAGAATGGATTTCTGATAACAAAGGAATCGTAGAATCTGCTCCAATAAGTAACATTTTAATGAATTTAAGCAGTACCTATGCTTCTGATGATGAAAGTAATATATTTTCGTAGTTTCAATAAAATATCTCCCTTAAATCATTTATTTTTTCTGCTTCTATATCTATTATTAATTTAATTTTTGTAGTTGATTCCCAACAAATTGTTTCTGACAAGAAGGGATCTGATCAAGTCAACACTTTAGAGGGCAGGATTGGAGAAAGTGATGATGAGCCTCCTGAAGAAGAAAAAATTATCCGACAAAGTGATATGGATTCAAATAATGAAACAAATTTAGAGGATAAAAAATTCACTGAAAGGTTTTCAAAGAGAAAAAAAGTATATCCTAAACATCAATTAAAACCTAAACCAAAAGTGATGGAATGGCAACCTTCCTTGAGAAAGAGACCTCTTACATTACTTGAAAAAGTGAGTTAACAATTTCCTTCATGCTTGGAGTGTATCAAAAGTTTTAACTAAAAAAATATAAATATAAATAACAAGACATAAAATTTTATTATAGTCAGAGCTATGAATTGTAAGTTAATTTAGTTGTTTAAGTTGTCTAAATGAACTTCCATTAATTCCATAAAAAATTCTTTTTTTAATTTAAAGAAGATGAAAAGAAATATTTTATGAGAATCAACTTATTGAATTGTTAAGATTCGATTCAGTTAAACGAATCTAATTTCCTATCTCTAATAAGCATTAAAATGATATATCACATATCTCTCTCACACATATATAAATAACAATATTTATATATAAATATTATATATATATATATATATATATATATATATATATATATATATATATATATATATATATATCATATTGTGATTATCATATTTCTCTGTTTCTTTTAGATTTTAATTGAGATTGTAATTTTTTTTTTTTTTTCTAGTTGCTGAACAAGGAAATTAAACAGGAAAGGAATTTCATCCTTCAGTGTGTCAGATTTATCATAAATGAAAACTATTTTGAAACATCTTCAAATTAATATAAGTAAACTTCTGATTTGTCATATTCAAGGGTTGTTGAATTAATGTTTTATGATCAATAAGAAGTTTTTTGTTTTGTTTTTTCAAAATCCAACGAATAGTGTGTTTGGATTAGTGGAAGTTTACAGTATATTTTTTAAATATATTTCCATGTTAAGTTTTATATTGAATATTAAAACTTCATTTCATTACCTAAATACATTTTGTGTTGTGTATAATGTATTCTTTACATTTAGTGTTTTTGTTTTATGGCTTAGTATACTTACTAGATCTTGGTATAGTTGGCTATATTTTATTGTCTGCAATGGTTATTATATGAATCTATTAAATTTTGTTATTTTATTGTTATAATTGTTTGAATTTATGATACTGTTTTAGGTATGAAGTGTTTTGGATTTTCTTATATTTTATAATGTACATTTAGTTGATCGACCATTTTCTAATAAATTTTTAAACAATTACAGATTTGTCTTGTTCTTTATAAGCTGTTAGCTTAGACATAGACCTCTAAGACTGCTCCTAAGGTATAGGTACAATTTAAAAAAATAATAAATCAAAAGTATAGTTTAATTTGTTATCCTATTAGTATTACAATATTGATATATTTATCTTAAATTTCAAATACTTATGTATCTTGACTTGTATTTTTAATCTGTTCAGAAATTAAAGAGCGATTTATATAGAATTGACACACCTTAAGCTATTATTTCCTTACTGTTTGAATAAAATTATGCAGTATCCTTAGTGTTATTTATCCAATCAATACATTTTACAATAATTGAGTCATAATGTTCTGAGATCAGTTGTGTTTCTATAGATAATTGCTATTTTAATTGGAATCCTTTATATTTGTAGTGAAAAAAAAGGAGCCCCATTAAATTTTGTTATTAATTGTTGGGCGATATGCTTCTCTGCGATTGTATATACAGATGTACATCTCAAATCTCTGGCAGATCTAGAGGGGTGTTTTCGAGCTGAGTCTCCATTACCTAAAATGGAAATTATTGCTCCTGTTATTACTTCTTTTTTTCTTTCAGAGTAATTATTGTAATAACAAAAAATTAAATCCTGGATCCATTACTACCTCAGTCTTAGAGGCGTAGATTAAGAAAACGTATCGAAGAAGAACTGGCTGCATTCCAACCGAGTAAACAGACAAGACTGTTTCTATGCTCAGATATGTAATGAAGAAGTGTGGGATGGACAGAAATATGTAAAGGTTTTTCTGGATCTCTGAGTAACCTTCAATTCTTCCACAAAAATTATAATGGAGGCCCTTAGTGCAAAACATGTACCTATACCTTCATTAAGGCAATCAAATCAATATACCAAATTCTTTATGGTATTGCCAGAATAAAACTACACAAAAAGTAGTCATGCTTGTTAATGTCTAGGAAAGAGGAAGATCTGAATTTTGTAATTGAAAGAGGTGAAGGAAAAATTCCTACTTTAGGTACAGACATTAGTAATATTGTCACCTTAGACGAAAAAGTGTCAAGCTTAATTGTTTTTTTTTTATTTATGATATTTACAACTGTATTAATAAATAAAATACATTTAGTCAATTTGATAACAGAAAATAATAACATGAAATCACTTGTTGAGAAATTATCCACTGATAGCACTCTAAAAAAAAAATTATTTACAATAGGAGATTTTGAGGCCATTTTCTTTTCAGATGCCTCAGAGGGTTATCAGGGATAGAAGAGGAAGTAAGGTTAGAGATGAGAGGATTCTAATGGTTCTGAAGTTTATTATGGAAGGATTGGTATCTGGATTGAGCCAAATCAGAAATATTAAGGTCGTTATGGATTATTTTATTGGTGACAAAGTAAGGAGCAGTGAGGATTGGATACAAGAGGAATTTGAGGGCTTAGTGGAGCCCCAAAGCTCAATTCTGAAAGTTCAAATAGATCTTATTGTAATCATGTATATGATCTTTTGTAATTAACTGGAAGCGTAGAGCATTTGTCTAGTAAGTATTGGAGTAGTCTGAAACATCCAGCGGTTTCGGTCTCTTATGAGGATTCCAAGTTTTGTCGGACTCCAAGGTATCGGATTTGTTCAACAGGGATAAGTGGGTTATTTTAAAGGATACTGTAGGACAGGAGGTCATAGGTTTATGGCGAAGGGTAAAGGTGATTGATTTGGTGGGATTTATTAGAATTGATTTTAATCCTCCTGTTTCGACACCATTCTTCAAGGTTGAGCATAATTGTAAAAGCAAATAAAGTCTACTACCAATTATGCAACATTGTGGTAGGCAAGATAGGAATCAATTCAAGTCAAGTTTCAGCCCAATCAACTATGTAGTTGAGTTAAGTAATGCTAGACAAGCATATGAGCCATCTGATTGCAATGGAAATGAAATATATACACCTAAGAGACTGGCAAGCCCTGAAGAGGCTATGCAGTATAAGCCTTAGACATTTGGGCCCCCAGGCTATTTCATCCCAAGTTATTCGAAAATAGTTTTATATCTTGAAATTTCAGAGGAATGTAACTGATTCATCACTGCTTCATTTAATGTCCTTCCATTTGATATCTCATTCATCAAACTCCACTGCTCTTGAAAGCTGGAAAAGGGATTGTTACTTTTAAAAAAAACTGTCCTTTTATACATAAAGATTAATTTACCCAGATAATTGACTGTAGATGGATCCACATATACATCGTTTGTATAGTATATAAGAACTTAATAAACTAAAGTCGAAATATGACCATATTTAACAAAGATACTGGTAAGTAATATAATACAAGTAATAAAATATATGCTCTGTGGACAGGATAAAACTATGACATGCATTCATAATTTTCAAAGCTATAGATGATAAAATAAGAAGAAAAATAAATTTTATTCTGGAACTAAGTCCACTTAGAATAACTACAATGTACAATTGTCTGACATTGGAAATAAATTAGATTACAAGATTGTCTATATCTAAGGTTACAATAAAGAAAAGGCACTGTTTGATATATGAAATTATAGATAGCTTCAGATATACGAGTTCACATGTTTTTACAGATAAACAATGTGGGTGATATATAATTATCTGTAAGATAACATTAAAGCGATTAACAGATCTGAAAAACGTGAATATTATTTTACACATATTCAGAAGATTGATTACTGAGGAGATGGATTAATAGATTATGGTAGCACGCATGACAAAAGTTTTTTAAAGGAAACAGTTCTATGAGAAGGAATAAACAGGTTTGAGAGCTGGAATCTCGTGTTGAACGTATGGACCGAGGAACAAGGAGTAAACAAATCGAGAATGTAAAAGGGTTTTCTGGTTGAAAAGGTTCGAAAAAGGAATACACTTAATAAGTATTGTCGTCGGAAGTCTGGATAGAGCCACTTCAACTCGGTATACAAACTGGAGGCGTGGGAGCGTCTGGGGACAACATAAATGAATCTAATGAAACAATTCATTAGTCTCTTTAATCTGATCTCAAGCCCATCATACAGTCCACCGTATCCAAGGCAGCTGTAATCGAAATGAGGGGAAATAAGTGAGGAAACTAGGAGCTGACGTATTTAAGGGGCATGGAATCACGGAATCTTAGGAACTGTTTGAGGGTAGCAATGGATTTTCGGATTATTTGGGAAATATGATTATTCCAGGACAAATATTGATCAAACATTAGCCCAAGGTTTCTAACGGATATGTACAATAAGATTGAAAGAAACGCTCTGCAATTTTTCTCTGATCAGTGCGCAAGCCCAGATTAAAGATAAAGATGCTTTCTGCGAAATTAATTTTAGATCACTTCATATCCAAACTTCAGAAAGAAGCATTTGTTTCAACAATAGGAACGCACAGAATAGTCATGAGTGTAGTGATAATGGTATGAACTTATTTGATTTCCAGATGACACAAAACTATATTAGCAGGACGTATCTTCTTACAAAGCAATCCATAAGAATTGATTATTGCGGCTTTTCTTGGTTCATGAGCTGACCATTTCCAAGTATCCCTCAAGACATGAACTTCCTGAGTGACTATGCTTCATATCTACTCGCAATATAATGAAGACGGTGAATTCCCACCAGTCAAAGAAGATAATATAATCTCTCCATAATAATATGACACTTAGATGGCTACTAGGTGAGGTACTCAAGTTTGATTGTGGTTCTGTCACTGATGAAATGTACATACTAATTTTAGACATGTAGATCACTGAACAAATGCCACAGGAATGGAGTTCCGCATTGATTGTCTAATATATAAAAAAGCGGCATATTAGCATGTAGAAATTGAAGAGATATAACTCTCTTTAACGACACTTATTAAGTACTGTCATTGGCGAAAAACAAACGAATACCCACTTGGTTGGAAAGACTGATAGAAGAGTACTAAAGCTGTTTCAAGCTTGACGGATCTACAGTCAACCATATTGTCGATTTTTTGTAAAAATTCACTTATTATATTTTTGATGGAGCCGAAGTTTAAGAATTGTTTAGTGAATTTTGCCCTTATTTTTCGATAAAAAACAAAACAGTAAATGCACTTGAATAACATAAACCATTATATATTTAAAAAATATATCAAAGTTCTTATTATTACAGGTAATGGAATGTCATTTAATTGGCATTACCACGCAAACTAGTGCAGCTTGAAAAAATGACTTTATCAAACACGAAATACAAATTCATAACGACTTTTCCAGGACTATTGGCGTGTTGAATGACATCCGACAAGGTGATCCTAGAAATATCTGCGAGGTCCATAAGAGCATAGACGAACAATCATGAATAGGTTGCACATGGCCAATGCAGATGATGTGGTTATCATAGGCAGAACCCTCACATCGTTATCTATATTTTTCAAAGAATTCCAGGATGCTGCAGTAAACTTGGTCTTCATATCAATTATTGATGAGATATTAGATGAGATCCTCCAGAAATGAATGGCAAAAGCATCCTTACGTTGAAATATGCAATCAGCATTCAGATAATGTGAACAATTTAAAAAATCTATGGTCAGTTTTCACAGCAAAAAAATAAGTAAAGAAGAAATGAAAAAAAGGCTGGCAGTAGGTTTTTACATTTTCATTTTCGAGATGTTTCTCTCTAATCGAAAAATAATTCTGCCAGTGGTAAATAATGGCAAAGAAACGTAGTTCTTGATTGATAAAAGACATTAAGATGTGGGAAAGAAAGGTCTTCCAAATGGTATGAGCCAGTTAATGAATTGGAACATTTAAGATCCAATAGAGGAGTTTAATGGAGATGTAAGAAGAACCAGATATAGCCGCATTCGTTAAGGCAACAGGGATACGATAGCTTGGTCATGTGGAGAGAATGTCAAGGGATCACATACCAAGAAGGGTCCAATTACCAGAATGAAGACCAAGGAAAGGAATGTAACATCTGAGAATACTTGATGATGTGGAGACAGTCCTACACTGAATAGGAATGAGGAAATGGCGAATATATACAACTGACAGGAACGAGCGAATGAAGACAGTGTTGGAGACCAAAGCTTGATAGTAGCCCTATTGTAGAGCCATTGTTAGGTAGATACTATGACAAATCTTTAGGACTCTATGAAGACCACATGTTGCTTCTTCGATTCCGACCTCGTTGTGAGGATTTATATTTATTTATTTTGTTGCTTCAAAATACATTACGTTGGTGAATGTTTTATGAATAATTATGTTTTATTTATAGAGATGTTAGGAAAAGTTCATATTTTATAAATTGTTATTTACTTACTAAATCTTGAATTTTATTTAATCTGGCACGGGAATGGAAGATTTTTTAAAACCGCTTCTAATGCCTAAAGAGATTATTTTTCAGTTATACTTACATAAATAATTCATAGTATTTTCAACCTGAATAAATTGTTTAATTATTTTCTTTTGAATAACTGTTACCATGGAAGGACAACCTTATCTAGTTCAGGCGGTATACTCCTTTAAAGGCAAAAATAATGATGAGGTAAATTGTTTTATGATCTCATTTTGTTTTAAATCTTTTTATTACTTTGATAATTGTGTCGATTTTTAAAATTTCTTAAAATAACTTAATATGTAGTATTGTTTGCCACTTCAGTTAATTTTAAAATAAAAAAGTAAGAAGGCATCTTTCATTGGTGTTATTGCCAGAGGGATGTTACAAGTGGTTGATAAATGGCTATATGAGTAAATCACACTTGGCATTCTGTCTTGTTATTGTCCCTATAGCAACAATGATAATAAATAATAAAAAACAAATTTCTCTAGGATACTTTATAGATATCCTTATCTGTCGAAGATAATGGGCCATTTGGATGTGTTATCGGAAAAGTTACTCTTTCTAAAACTTTTTTTTTTTTACATAAGACCTTTAGAATTGAAACTGGGCATCCAGTTGTCAAAATCATTCTATAATTATTTGAATAGTCTTAATATGAATAACTGATACAAGAATACTACTAAAAAACATAGTACCAGTATGGAACAAATGTTTGCAGTAGTCTTAAAATTTCAGTTATTTATAATTCTTTGAGAAACTGGAGTTGGCGTTGTTTGGTTCCGAAGACCTAATATGTTTGATGTATTTTGAAATCAAAGATTCTGGTTTGTTAATGTGTTGACAGCTTAAGGTACTTTTCAGATTTCTAGTTTCAAAAAACAAGTATGTTTAATTATGTTACATTATTAAAATTTTAATATATATTAATCATCAGGTAGCACTAAGAATTTCACCGTAGTTGAAAAAATATGGCAAAAAACAAACTACAAAATATCTCATGGGTGATAAATATTCAGGACGCAGTCATTATAAACGTCGGCACTAATAAAAACTTTATAATGACTGCTGCCTGAAAATTTATCAACCAGGATATGTATAACAGTCGACTAACTTTCTTCAATAATTCTACAAAATATCTCGTAATTGGTCTCTTGGGCGAGATTACTAACTATGAATTTATGTTGGTGAACAGTCAATGTTTTAACATTGTGAGACCAATCTCAAGATCTGTTACAGCTGATTTGTTATTCTGGTAGGTTACTAAAACATTGTTCAGTTTAAATGAAAGTATTTAAAGGTTCGGCTTCAAGGTGGCTCAAATATATTTTTTAAATAAAATAAAACAATTAAAATTTGTGCTGGTTTTTTCAATATTTTTCAATTTTTGGCATTTATGATCATTTCTCCTTATGGTTTATGACTTTTTAGGATATTATAATTCCAAGAGCTATATTTTAGCTAAAAGAATATTTACAAAAAATTGTATTGTTTAAAAATTAAGTATTTTACTATATTGACCAGCTAGATTATTCTTAAATATTTAGAATACAAAAGTTAGACTTGGTAGATTTTAATCTAGTAATCTGTCGATTTCTTATCTATAATTATGTCAGCACTTGAGTCAATCAGGTAAACGGTTAGTAAATTCAATAAGAGGGATGAGGTTCATTGCTTAAAGTTTATAATTTTCATATTCTTAATGTCAATGTTTTTTAAAAGATATCTCTCGGTTTATTATATATGCGTACTCTGTTTGGGAAGGTAATAATAAATCAAGCACAGAAACATTATTTGCTTTCTTTCGCAATAATTTATTATTATGAACTCAATTGAATTAATTGAACTCATTTTTTAAATTAATTTGCTTGCTGCTTTTTGCTGCTTACCATTTATAAACCAATGGTACAGTTTGTTCTGAATTTTTAAACATTTTTCCGTATGTGCTTGTTTCTCCTCAAAAAGTTTATTTATATATTAATCATATATGTTTGAGCTTTGTGAGGGATGGCAGATCTATGGATTATTGTTTATTATAAACAATTTTATACTTTTTGTCAAAAATCACCTTTGAACTTATTGAACAGATTAAAATTATTGGCTTTGCTTCAGGGGATCTGAATTTTCACTCTTATTTGAAAACACTGTTATTCATTTATGAAATAATTAGACATTAATTTTAACTTTTTTGTAGTTAATCTAAGCATTACAAATATAACTTTTATTTAACCAAAATACTCACTCTTAATTGTTTGCATTATTTAATAAATTTATCTGTGATGAAGTAATGATATATGTTTATTTTAACCTTTAAAATCAAAGCGAGGAGAAAGATTGTTTTTTTCTTCCTACTTAATTACGAATATTGTATGTTGTCACATTGACAAAAAATAAATAAAGCTTTATAAAATCTGACTATTTCCATCAAACATATCGTGGTGCATGTTATTTAAGAAAATATAACTAAAAGTAAAAGTTGGTTTTATACAATTACACTTAGAACAAATATATTAACTGTCCATTGGTTGAATTAAAGTAATTCATTTTTATAAAGGAAATCTTTTTGGATTTTCACTGAAAGATTATAGCTTTAAAATATATTTAATATATCATATTGGCCTTTTGTTCAAAATCACAAATTAATGTTGCACAGTGCTGTGATCAAGCCATTTCTGATTTAGTACTGTGAGATCTGTACACTAACCAGCACTCTAGAAAGAGTATTGAAAAATTTTAGCAGAAAATCTATACGATAAACAAAGCGATCAAGGATAAGAGTAGAACCAATAAAGAACTGCTTACAGAAACTGGTCAATAAATATCTCATGCTATGAAAACTAGTAGTTTGAGATGGGGTAATGTAGCTCGAAGCAATCTATCAAGGAACCTCTACACAACAATGAATACCTATATAATTGGAAAGAGACCACATGGGAGGAGAAAAAACAGATGAATAGATAAAATCAACAAAGATACTGCTGAGCTGCATGTTGTAAACTGGAAAGTAATAGCCATGGAGAGGCAGATGTGGTGAAGCCTGATTCAGGCTGCTGAACATCTACAAGACCTGTCCTGTTAAATCAACAGGAAACAAAAAAATTAAAAAATATGGCTTTTTACAATTTTCTTATTTTATTTATTTATTATTACTTTTTTAAAATGTATTTTCATGTCTCTTATTGAAATGTAATAATGATTTTTTTTTATTTTAGTTATGCTTTAAAAAAGGAGATATTATTACTGTTACTCAGCTTGATGATGGAGGCTGGTGGGAAGGTACACTAGATGAAAAAACTGGATGGTTTCCATCAAATTATGTCAAAGAATTTAAAGGTCAAAGTAAGTATCTAATATTTATTTCATTATTTATGTTAACATATAAAACATTATGGATTCAAAGTATGGTGACAAATCTATCAAACAAATTAAAACAAAGATTATTATAATTATATAATATTATTTTAAAAGTTTTTTTGGGGAGGAAGGAATATATCATTTAAACTTCTTGATCAGTTTATTATTTTTGTTCAATGATCAATTAAAGCAATTTAGAACCGGAATATCAAAGGATTTAATGAGAAAGAAATGGAATTGCCTAAGGAAGTTAATAAACTCAAATAAATATATTAGGAATTGTACAGTCTAAGAAGGACAGGAAAAAACTATATATTGTTATACTCAGGAACCATGGATGAAGAACACAAAAGATAGAGTAGGATATTTATTCCACCACACGCTTGCCCTCCATTATTAAAGAATGGAAACCAATTAACGAGTGATTATTAAAAGAGAATTTTTCAAGCAAAAATAAGCAATTCACACTTCTCCTTTCAAATGTACTTTTGATACCTGAATAATTTTAAAAATATTAAAATAGCTGATAAATAGTCAGAACACAGTCATTTTTAAGGTTCTCATTGGTGCTGATGTTTCAACCCAAGCATGTGGGTCCTCATCAGAGCTTATGTCGAGCACTGAAGGTGTTCAAGTACTGGCCACCTTCAACACCTTCAGTGCTCTAAACACGCCCTGTTAATGACCCACATGCTTGGGATAAAACGTCGGCACCAATGAAAACCTTAAAAATGACTGTGTCCTGACTATTTATCACTTATGATATGTAGAACAGTCGACTAACTTCCTTCAATAATTCATAAAATATTAAAATAAGATACGTTTTTTTTTTTATTGTCTCTACAGATCTTGTAGATCTATGGCCGCCGGAACCAACCTTCTCCACCTCTGATTATCTTAGGCTACTGTTTTCCAGTTTACGGTATGTTGTTGGCCCTTTCTGTCCACCTCGTTTTTGGCCTCCCACATGGCCTCTTGCCTACTACTCTGGCATTAATTGTTTAATTGTGTAAAGCCCTGATGAATTATTTCGAACTACATTCCCTGCCCATCTTAATCTCCTTGCCTTGATATCATGAGATATTGACTGACCAGTTTCTTTTAGCAGTTCTTCATTGTTCCTTCTCCTCCATGTGTTAAGGTTCTGATCTCAGATATGTCCTGTTATCGTACGGAGAACTTCGAATCTCTCAATTCTGTCTTCTAGTGTGCCAGTTAGGCCCAAGTTAGGCCTCAGCTGTACAGCAGAACTGGCTTTATCATGGCGTTGTACATCTTTAGTTTTAGATTTCTGGAAATTTTTCTAGATTTCAATACCTTTGAAAGAGAGAAGAAAGCTCTATTCGCACTTGTTTTTCACTGGTCTACTGCTGTCACTTGATCATTTTTTGAGATTCTTGCAGAGCCGAGATATTTAAAAATGTGTTTCATGAATGACTTAAGAGTCCATGTAGATCATGCAATTAGGGTTGATTTTTTTAGCTATCATATATATTGTTTTATTTTCATTCACTTGTAGTCTGACGGTATATTCCGCTTTATATACTACCCTTTGTTTCCTGTTGTTTGTGAAGACTTCGCAACAATATTATAATATAATATAGAAATATATGTTTTTTTTTCATCATTGGCCACAACAAGATGGGTGGAAAAAATGTATGGTAATTTGTACTGTCTGTAATTTTTACTTTTACTTTCCTATATATGAAAATACTTATTTCTCCCCAAAGTATGGTGGTAAGTGACAGTTGTGTGATTCATGCTCTGCACCAGTTTTTTTTAATTTAATTATATATCGATAGTCTTACATGATACTCCCTTGACAGATTTTATTGCCATTATTTTTTTTTCTTCAATTTGAATAGAAACCTCAGAAAATGACTTTTTACCACAATATATTTTACTTTTGAAAAATGTAATAATACCATAAAAATAAAACCTTTTACACTCTAATCTATTTAATAATAAGTTTATTTAAATGATGTTTACAATTTACATAAAAATTGGCCAGTTTTGGTACAACATTTCACACTAAAGGTAATCTTAAACTTATATTACCTTTAATTTTAACTTCATTACCTTTTAGTAGTCTTTGTTTAATCTATTTGAAAGTTATGCAAATATTTGTATTAATTATCTTATCAGATAAATAAAAACCTATTATATTATTACTATACACATAGCAAAAGAACCCTTAATTAATTATCTCCGTATAGTTTTAATTGGTCTTTTATTTTCTTCCTCTCTTTCTATCAAAAACTTTTTACTTCATTAATTTAAATTTTGAAAAACTCTTCCTTAAAAAGTTGCTCTCCATTAATCGAAAATTTTATTGTATTTATATATTCCTCATTATAAAGTAGTAGCAAATGATATAAATAAGTGAAACATAATAATAATTAATAAGTATTGGATTATCTATAGTTTTTTTTTTTCAATTAGTCTTGTTATAGTTATTTATGACAAATTTATTAATTCTATCAATAACATTGTGGGTTGTTTATAATTGTTAATTTATTTAAATCACTCTTTATTTCAGGTGATCATTTAAGCCCTCTGAAAACGCCTGGTGATATAGCAGCACAACAAAGGGCATACAGGCCAGTAGTTTTAAAAGATTTTATTGATTCTGAGAAAGCACACATCACTGAGCTGCAGCACCTTATGTCTAATGTTCTCAGTACCATTGAGAAGTCAGAAATGTTAGTTTAGTATCTTCCTTTTATCTGTTGTATACCTGCAAAACTTTGATTGTTCGAATTTTACCAAAATAAATTTTTGCATCCCTCTGACCAAAGAAAAGGTTTCATTCTGAATAGAGTGTATCATTTTTATATTGCCTGGGATTGGAATATTTTTTCGTCTCCTGAAAATTTGTTAAAAGTACTTACAAGAATTTGCAGTTATACTGTCACTTTACTTTATCTTGACAAACTTGCTCAACTGTAATATATTTACATTACTTGACTAACTTTAAAAAAAATACATATATTTTTCAGATTAAGTAAGGAAGAATTTAGTTTAATTATTAGTAATCTCAAAGAAGTATTGAAACTTCATGAAGAAGTTTTATCTGGTGTCGAGAGAAATAGTTCAAAACCACCATTGGAACAAAGAGTAGGCAAGTTTATATTAAATTTAGCTCCTAAACTGAAAGTAATACATGAAAATTACTGTGCAGGGCATCCAAAAGCTGCCTTCATCATAAATAAGCATGAGTAAGTAATTTTAAAAAGTAACTTTATATATTTTTTTTTTTTGTGAAATTAAAATAAATATGGTGTAGTATGCCTTTCAAGAAAAGCTTCTTTTGCAGTGGTTTCTTTTCATTCATAATTTCATAATCTTTATGTTCACTTGTTAGTTTACAAGATGTTGCTTCATTCAAAGCACTGGATTAAATCAAGTATCATAGTATTGGCCCAATCTAAGATTATTATTGTTTGAGCCTTTGTTCTGAATGAGAAAATGTGCTATGCACACAATCACGCTCCACAGAGCAATGAATTAATAAGTCTGAACACATACAGATCAAATAGAGAACCCAGCCTGCTGACTCTGAGCAGCCATAATCCGTGGATTTAGACTGATGTGTCACTGTCCTTGAATCTGAGTGAGTCGGTGGGAAGGACAATCTCAGATCGGCTATGGAGTTACGAGTGGCCTGCTGCTCTGCCAAGGAAACCATGGTCTGTAGCAACATAAGGTTGGATGACCGTCTCAAGGTTATCCATACTCCCGCATAGTATAACCTGTGTACCATAGTATACAACAGTATAGATTTGTAGACTTAGGTAGACCTAGACAACATCTTGCAAGCAAAGATCTACATTGTCTATAGTGCCAACGAAAAAAAAAATATATATATTTAAAATACGTCAATTGAAGCCATTTAAATTTATCTAAATTTAATTTATTACAAAATAAATGTTAATCAATATTAATGTTAGTCGATCTAATTTACATTTTGTTTAGTTGACTTAAAAATTTACGCAGTCAAAAAGTACGTTAAATCGTGTTTTACTGTGTCTTTTACTCTTGTAATTACAATTTACTCGTAAGTTTAATTTTTTATATCCTCTCATATTAATATTCTTGGCAAGAAATAAGAAAATACATGAAATACTAATAACGTTAATTTATATTAAGTGAGAGATTGCACAGGCTCAACTGATAGGGCTCCTGCTCCCTTCGATACTTAGATAGTCCTTTAAAATTGGATCGTAAAGTTGCCCACACATATTCATCCATCAAACTGGTCCGACCTACCAGCATGAAGGTTTGTAAATCTAAACTCACACCATGAACCAGTCTGACCTAACCCACTCACTTTTGAACTTTAATGGGACCAAAATTATATGGGCCACTTTATTTTAAACAAAATCTTAAAAATCAAAGTTTTCTCTTATAGTGATATTTTTGACACATTGACAGCCAACGGTTGGCAAGAACTTTTCAAGATTCCAGTCTAAAATTCAATTTAATTCAATCATATTATATTATTAAAGTCTCTAATTTTAATATGTAGTAATCATTAAAAAAATACCACAAATTCCATTGTTGATAAAAAAAAACAAAAAAACATGGTGCCTAAAAAACTATGAAATAACTCATAGTTGGCGTCCAGGAAGAAAATAATAATTACTAGTCATCTCATAGAAAGACAGTTAATATATTAAAACAACTTCTGTTTTTATCAGTACTAAGGTGTGAATAAAAATACTTGCTAAGAAGAGTTAACACATCGCCAATATTAACAGAATCTTTCACTGCCATGCCCACTGGCTCAAACATTAATTGTTTACATTTTTTTTTAATTTCAATGAATGAACTTTAAATTTGATTTTATAGTTTGAGTGATAACTTATTGTATTTCTTTATTAATTAAACTTAAAAAAAATGTATTGAAAATTTTCTAAAAACCTCTAAAACTCCATTGTATATCATTATGGATTTTTTTTTTTCAATTACCTCCTACCTCGCCATTTCTGACATACGGGGGAGTGCTTCTAGTGTACAGTTGAACCTATTCTCACCAAAGCAGTTAGGCCAAGATTCGTTTCATAACATCTTACTAACTTGCCAACTATTAACCAACCCAAATTGACCTGTTACTAACTATTCTATGACAAATCGCTAAGACTTTCAAACTACTCATAAATTACATAAGTCACAACCTCATAGAATGAAATGAAAATGAAAATGAAAATAGATTTTTATTATCCTGGGACTTTTGTCTCTTTAGGATAAATTATAGATACAGAGGAAATGCCTGTGTGGCCATAAAATTATATTAAATATTTACAATGCTCATCAAAATAAAAATATTGGATGAAAAATAAAACAAAACCACTAAATACATACCAGATATATACAAACATGTGAAAATAAAATAACATAATCAAACAAAACCATTTCTGGGGGAACTTACAAAGTTCTCTTATCTACTATTCATGATCAATCTGGTTGGGAATGAAGTAGGTACTTAAAAAGAAGGGATTTAAATGAGGAAACTGATTGCGCATGTCGGATATCGGGAGGGATGGTATTCCAGGTGGAGACGGCTTGAATTATAAAGGATTTGTCAAATGCAGCAGTTCGGTGAGGATGTGGATAAAGGTCAGAGTATGGGATCTAGTGGGACGGTTTTGAATGGAATATTTAAATTGTAGGCTGTGAAAAATATAGGAAGGTCGCTGAGTTCTGATGGCTTGGTATAGAAAGGTAGCAATACTGGGTTATATGTGTATCTCTTGAGATTCCGAAAACAAAACGTATTGCGCAGTTCATCAGGCGTTTAAGTCTGGCCTCGAATTCCGCCGTACACCAGACAGCCATAGTCAAAGTGAGGGAACACAAGGGAGGAAACCAGGAGTCGTCGGGATTCATATGGAAGGAGATAGTGGAGAATGATGAATGAAGAGTAACTGGAAGAGAGAATTCTCGTAATAACAATCAATGTTTATATGAAGCATGTAGGAGTAATATCAATCGATATGTATTGTTCTCTCTTTTTGCCTCTCTTGCTATGAGCTGATAAATTCATCGAATTCACTGTTTGTCAGTAACTGGTTCAAATAAAGAACTCATGTATTTATTTATTTTATAATTTATTAAATATTTTCAGAGAGGAGTTATTGAAACTTCTTGATGGAAGCGTTCTAACACTGACATCAGGTTTGAGTAAACCATTTAGAAGAGTTGAAAAGTATCCTAATCACCTCCAAGAGCTTGAAAGACACTTAGAAGAAAGTCATCCAGATCGGGGAGATACCCAGAGAGCTGTTAGCGTTTACAAGGATATTGCCGTAAGTATACTAACCATAATCTCTCTTCTTGATTTCCTTTCGCCGCATTATGAAATTTTGTGTTTTATTATTACGGTTATTAATTATGATTAAATATGTAGTAGAATCAATGTAAGTTACTTATTTAGTACACAAACTTGTTTTTTTTTTCTATGTATTATTATCATAACCTTTATATATTATTTCTCAAAGGTGTTTTTCTGTCGATACGCCATATTTTCATCAATTCTTCTTAAAATCCAATGATTGAGCACTCATTTTGAAGATCTCCTTTAGGTGGGAAAAATAGTTATATCTCTCAAATTTCAGAAAAAAAGATATGAAGAAAATAACTGTATTTGAGAATTACTCAATATTATATATATTTTTGTTCATGGTACCAAACAAGAAAAAATCATCAAATTCTTTATTATTATCTGAGTTCCTAAAAAAAAATAAAGGAATTCTGCATTACTATTATCATTATTAGCTGAGATACAGGTTTTTGTATTTCATAAACATTTTAAAACATGAATGAAGTTTTATTATAGTTTTCTTTTCCTTGGTTGATTACAATTACTGAAAAAATAGGAAATGATTCCTTCATCTTATGATACATTGAATTATTTACTTTCTTTATAATTTTTCATTTGTTCACTGATCTTATTTTTTGTGAATTATTTGCACGGGCCAACTAGTTTGTTTAGATTACCTAATTCATTACTTTTACAATACAAAATATTTTGACAGTTATTTTTTCATTATGACATACGTATTTATAAGCAGGTATTAGAGTTGTAATTTAAAAATGGAATAAGTTTCTATTCATTCAGTTGTCATCCGTTTTAATCAGTAACTTTTAGCATTACAACCCAGACTTATACAAATTTAAGTGATGATTTGGATTCAAATTTATTGTTATAAGATTTCTTATTTTTAGTCAACATGTTCAGTATTACGCAGACAGAAAGAAATGGAAATTGAAATTATGAATGGAGGCGTCAGAGGATGGGAAGGCCAAGACATAGCGAAGATGGGAGACATAATACAAATGGGCTCAGTTGCTGTCTGGCCCGAACACAGGGATAGATATTTTGTCCTGTTTCCCACAACTTTGCTCATGTTAAGTGCGAGTCATCGAATGAGTGCTTTCATTTATGAAGTAAGTAATTTTTGTGATTTACACTAAAACATAAAAAAAAAAAAAAAACCAACTAACCACTGATATCTTCTAAGAGCCGTTATTTTAATGAAACATGATTTAAAGGCCCAAATTTGGACTTTTTGTCTGGTTTATTTTCCTTTTAGTCGTTTTGTAAATAACCTGTTATGGGTTAATTGTAAATAACCCGTTTAGAGGCAATATTGAATTTTCCTTCCGTTTTGTCGGGAGACTAGGTTATTTACTCTCATGAATTTAATTTTCTTAAAACAAAAACCCTGGCACTGGATATAGACTTTTTGAGGGTATTTAACTGTCGTTGGGAATTCGGGAACCTAATGCCTTTTGTGACACTGAGTGACAAGAAATAATAAGAATATATATATCTGAAATGTGGGACTTAGTGAACACACTTTGAATGAATTGACTAACCTGGTTTGTTATTCTTCAATTGTGAGGCATATAGGATAACTACATAAAAGGACTATTCACTTCTGTATAATAAAATAATTTATTTCCATAACTGTGATAAATTGAATGTATTAAAGTGTTATAACTATAGTTCATCTTGATATTCTTAATCTTCAGTGTGGTAGACTTCTCTTCTCAGGTGATCTCCTTCCTTCATGCCCATGCCTCAAGTACATTCTTTTCTCTCCGGCGTTAAAAGTAATGTAGTATCAATTTTATTGAATTCCATTCTTTACTTTCTCTTTTATATGCGCAAACAGGTTTTCTGTGATATGTCTATATCTCTAAACTTGCACGTTCGATTTGGCTCAATTGTGGAGGAAAGTTGTTAGGGATTGGTAAACAAATAATCAAGTATCAATTTAATTAAACTATCCACTACTTTCAAAAAAATATCAGTAGACATATTCTTTGACATACCTATTGTTTGGAAACTGCTCTTTCGATCTTACCCAAACTTGATGGAAATTTTGAGAATAGTATAGATATTGCCTAGTATCAATTTTATTTAATTCCATTTGATAATTAAAATTAATTTAAATACGTGTTAGCAATATATATAGTGAAATTGGGAAGGCACTGATCATATGGAATGGGGTTAATGCATAACCTAACATAATAGGTATTGTAAATTTTTTAACCGTATATTGTTTTAAACATCAATTTTAGATTTTCATAAATTAATTTCCATTTCTTATTAAAAGTGTTTCCTATTTCTTTAATAATATGCATTTGTTCTTTTAAAAAGAGATTTTTTTATTCGAGTTCTTCTATTGCCATCGGAATTGTCTTCAATTTTCTTTGCTTTTTTTATAGAGAGAGCATGTTCATCTAAACTCTCTTATAATTCTGTAAATATGTTAAAATAAGCTGAATAAACAGTTTTCTGTCACCTGGTTATCACTGCATATAATGGTTGAACACAATACAGCACATATTTATAAAGCTTGACCAATCGCATCAAATTATATATAATTTATAATACCTACTGGAAAAATTAATTCATTTGTGGAAATAACTTTTTCTTGACCTCTAAACTTTTATGGGAAGGAAATTTAAATAATTTGTATAACAGAATCACATGAAAAGCGATAGAAAAGAATATCGCTACTATTAGTGCAAAATGCCATACGTAAAAATTGAGTGTATCTCATCAAATAGTATTAAAACTGATTATTTCTTTATGATTTATTAGTATAATTTAATATTTTATTTTCCTCTGCTATTCCCCATAGTAGCAGACTATATAGCAGTTGCACATTACAAAATGCCATCTTAACCACCAATAATAAAAATGGATAATTTTTACATACAACCTTTTTGCACTAACAGTAGAGATATGTTTAATTAAGAAACTGTTATTAATGTTTAAGTTCTATATGACATTAAAAAATGAACTTTTGATTTTATACTCATTTACTATATAACTCCTTGTATATAGTTCCCATCTCAAGCTTAGGAGTGGTGGATTTTGACTAACGATGTGTCAAAAGATAAATAATTTTTGTAGAAGTGACAAATTCAAATTTCTATCATACTATTAGTATTAATTTAATAAAAGTCATTGAAAAAAGTAGGAGGTTTCAAAACTCTGGTATTGGTAAGTAGTTAAATTAAGATGGGACAAATAATGGTTTTGATGAGACGTCAAGCCTTGCCTTTCAAAACCATGTAATGTATCGTTTTCAAGATATAGAGGTGCACAAACTAATCCTAGCGATAGTCTCTTAGATGTCTCGCGTTACTTATCACATATCATTAAGGTTTTTAAAAATTAAAATTTTATTATTAATTGTAGCCTATGATGATTATTAAAATTATATTGAAAAAATAAGGTATAATACTGCAATATGTATAATACTTTATTTATATTTATAAAATAGTCTCCTTCCTTCTTATCCTTATTGACTCATTATTTATTTATTTTTAATTTCAAAGGGGAAACTGCCCTTAACTGGTATCAAGGTGAATAAATTAGAAGATACCGAGAACTACAAAAATGCATTTGAAATCATCGGTAAGTGGAAAAATACAAATATATTTTAGATTAAGCAATTTATTAACTTATATAAGTTGTTTTGTTTTCAATAGAAGATGCTTCATTTTTAGGACCATTGATTGAACGAATAGTTGCCATTTGCCAAACTAAAGAAGATCAACAAAAATGGGTTGATTTAATTCGAGAACAAAGTAAAAATTTAGGTCATAAAATTAATACTCCACTTTCAAGGGTAAAATTTTTGAATTTAATAAATTAATTTTATTATTATATTTTATAATGAATAACTTATTTACAGAAAAGTTTTTGGAAGTAATTCCTTTCTTTTTAACTTTTTTTTCAAATAATTTATCATTCTAAATCAATAATTTTCTCTTTCATTAATAATTCTTAATTATTCATTTTCTATTTTTTCTTAATTATATTTAATGTTTAATATTTATACTAATTGCTAATTATTTAAATTTCTTTTAGAAATATGATTTTGAAGACATGAATAGTGAAGGTCATTGGTCTATTACACGCTTAAGGCCAGCACCTCCTTCTAGAACCGTATTGCTGAGGAGTGAAAAAATATTAAATCCCAGAGGTACTTTTTGTTTATGAATATATACCAAATAGACCAAAATCATTGTCTTTGGTCACCTGTGATATTGATGGTGTAATATTGACCAGGAAATGTTTAGAGTTGTTATTACGAAGTAGGCCTGTTGTTAAAAGTTAAATTATACCATGTTTGGTTCTTATCTAACGAGTTTATTTTTTTGGAGGACCGTGGAATAAATTTTAAATACTCACTTTCACTTTTTCCTGTCCTGTTTAAACTAGACCTCGGCACTCTTGAAATAATTTATTTCTGAAATAAATCATATGGTTATTCCACGAATGAATTATTTCCGGAATAATGGTTATTTCAGAAATAATATTTCAAACTGTCAATGAAATAATCTCGATGGAATAACTACTGAATTTATTTCTGAAATAATATTTTAACATTCTTTGGAAAAAGTAATTTATTCGGACATCGTAGCGCGGATAAAGAGCCCGGAGTTCGTCTGCCACTATATGCCGGCGCCCCATGTTGAGCTGGAGGATGGTAAGCTCACTCATAAAAGGTCCTCTTCGCTACCTCTTTAGCCCACTTCAGGTGCACAGGGCACTCCCGACTTCCCGCCTTGTGCTTCCTTTGACTAGCAGGCGCATTTACCCGCTCGCAGTTGATGCACGATGGGCTAGCCAGTTCTTTTTTCTTAGGGCAATCTTTTATAACATGGCCAGTGGAAGCGCCCCAAATGCAGACTACAGCATTTGATATGCAAGTGGCCTTAGTGTGACCATATCCCTGGCATTTACTGCATCGAGGAGCGTCGAGGTAGTCTTTGATTGTAATACTCCACCATCCTCCATCTAAGCTTCCTATTTCCAACAGCAGGAATCGAACTGTAGGGTGCACTTCTATCACCCAATTCTTTGTAAAGCCATTTCTTGCCATTGAGGAAAAAAGTGACCGGATATCATCAACGACCAGCGGAGTGGGGACCGACTTCTCGGGTATTCTTTCCCATAAAAATCTCACCAACTCCGCTGAATCCCATGAGAGGGGGACGCCCTGAACCTCCAATCTAGGTTTCTTCCTCAAGGCAAGTTTGGCTTGAAGGCCACTGTCTCTTAGCCCTTGCCATCCAATCACCTTCGTGGCATCACTACTATTATCCATGCGGACCAACACGGAGCCAGTCTTGGTCGTACGGACAATGGAGGCCTTTACTCCAATTTCACTTGGTGAAGGCAACCCATTGATTATATCTGCTGGTCTCTTGCCCGTTCCACTTATAGTGATATAAGTCGATCTCTCAGTTTGAGTTGGCTTTGTAGGCAAAGATTTCACAATATCCCCAATGGTTATTGGTTTCTCTTGCCGTTGTTCTAGAGCTTTCGGTTCTATTGAGACCACTCTGTTTGACGAAGTAAGTGCTTTATTAGTAGTTTTAGTTTTTTTCCTCCTTCTCTTACTCTTGACGGTTTCAAATCTCTCTGTTACCTCCGGAGAATGATCCATTTCTTGACAGCAAGTTGGTGCTGTTCTCCAGAGGGTCCTGCCTTAGGCTGTAAATGTTGAGGTGCTGAACTTGAAAGAGCCTCCAAAACCTTTGGCATAGAAGTCTCAACGATAACTTTGGTTAACATGTCATGCACCTTTTCCGATGACAATGTTTCATTTATTGCTCTTTGGACAAGGGTAAGTACACTGCCATAACTATGTTGACTATCTTCGTCTTCTGAGGTCTCAATCATCTTAACAAGACATTGAATCTTGTTGCTAATATGGTCCCTAACACTACTTACGGGCTTGTTTTCATGTTTGACCATGTATAAACGGAGATTCTCCTGTATTCGCTTGGCTTCAAGAAATAGATTAGAGCCCTCTTCCAATTTCTTTTTAGCAACAGGGGAACCCTTCCTGGCCCTCTTTATCGTACGTTTTCGTTCTTTACGAGGTTCCACTCCTTCAACTATATTATCATTCAACATAGTAAATTAAAAGTGATGTAACCTTTAAATAAAAGAAAACTTACTTATCTTTCCTAAAGAGTCTTTGGGCTTCCTAGGGAAGCTTAAGGTAGTTTTAGCTACCAAGGGGTCGAATATTTTTCCTTAACACACTTTAAAAATATTTTCTGGAAAAATGTTAAGTAGTAGATACAAAAAGTTATAGTGAAATAAACTTTACGGATTTAATCAATATCAGGGTCGACTATAATGTTTTCAGGGATGCTTTTTATAAAAATACTGTCAAATGTACGATTGCCCCCCACGATTCCCTCCACTCCTCCGTATCGATTTTTTGTAACTTTTCAGATTTAATCGATATCAGGGTCGACTATTATGTTTTCGAGGTAGCTTATTTCAAAAATAATTATATCGTTAATCCTGAAATAATTTATTCCACAAATAATCATTTCTGAAATAATGTTCATGTTATTTCATGAAATAAATTATTTCCAAAATAACTTTTGAGGTTTATTTTTCAAATAAATTCTGCCCAAGTCTAGTTTAAACTTTATAATATCATTAAATCCAACAAATAAAAGCTACAATTTTGAGTTGATTAACCTCATTTTATGAACTGTATGCATGAATATCTATGGTTGTTAGCATTTTTGCCATAAAGATGGTTTTTTTGTTTGAGATTTAAAATACTTTGGTACACCAATTAGGCAGAAAGGATTAGGTTGCCCTACATGTAACCAAGCTCTTCTATCTGGAGTAAGAAGGTAAATTTCATGAGTCTGCCATGAAATTAATAAAATCAATTTACCCAGATCGCCATCACTTCTGACTTAAAATTGTTGAGATGAATTCTTAAAAAACCGCCTTCCAAATAAGGTTTTGGATTGAGTTCAGTCATCTATTAAATAAAGGAGTGAATATAATATACTTGTTGTACCTCCAACACAATACAAACATTACTAAAAAATTGATACAGAAACAATAGTATTAGTATCGCTAAGAGGGTGAAATATGTTTTGAGAATACCAACATCCATTTATTATACAGTTACTCTTATAGAAATATTTATTATTTTCATTTCTTCCTACCTTATCTGCTAGCAACCCAGGTTTTAGCAGTGGTATAGCATATATCGCTACTGTTAATGCTAAAGATTGTATGTAAAAATTGAGTTTTTTTTACAGAAGAACATAGCAACCAATTATACTTTATAATTTCATATTTTATTTACCTTTGCTATTTTCCTATTTAGCAGATTAGTTATAGCAGTTCCAAAATACAAAATATAACCTGTAGTGCAAAGAGAATAAACATGTAAAAAAGTTAACAAACGATATTTTGCCCTAACAGTAGCAATATTCCTTTACTATTTCTATTGATAAGTACCTTATGAATTTAAGTAATTATATGTTTCTCTAAGCACTGTCCATCAATATTATTTTTCCTGCATTTTTCTAGTTATATATTTGTATTTTGCAAATATAACTATGTTACATTATTATATATGCAGCATAATTATGGGTTGTTAAGTACTTATTTTATTATATTTATATAAATGCATAATATTAGCTACATATGTAAATATAGTATAATGGCATTATATTAGCAATTAAATTGTGGATTAGTAAGATTATTAATTTCTATCGTAACTTCCTTATTACAGATACGAAAGGACTAGAAGAAGATGCCCAAATCTTGCGAGTCATTGAAGCTTACTGCACCAGTGCAAACTCAAGGTTCACTCTTAATTCAGGTAAGTTCAATGTTGTTTTGAAGGTTCAACCTTATCAATCAATAATACGATTTTTGAGCATAACAAAGTGCATGACTTTTATGTTTGCATGAGCATGTTCAGTGGAGTTATAACAACATTTCTAACTTGAAATAATGGAATACAATTCTTTACATTTTCTTCATGTCCAGTGTTGAATAAATATATATCTATATATACTTGATTGGAGTTAGCTTGTTGTTGTCTGTTATTTAAGAATTATTACATTTGTTATCACTAATTACATAAAATAATTAATTTAAAGAAAAGGGCTAAATAAATTTTTTCCTAGAGATCCTCTCAACATAATTACTTTTACATTTGTTACTGCATAAAGTTAATCTATATTTATACCTAGGGGGTTTTTAATTATAATTTCAGTGACCAAAAAGGAAGACTTTAGTTATTCAGCTAGTAGTTCCTTTTATTATCCTAATTAAATCCTAAACATATATTCTGCATTGAAAAACTTAGTAATAAATTGGCTGTTATCATAAGAAGAGTTAAAAGGTATTTCCATCCATCTTGGGGACGACAATATTTCTTATTTCCTTTTAATGCATTCTAACAGATCTTAATCAATTATCTCAAACCATATGAAATCATTTGTATGATTCATAAAAGTTGCTGATAAAATTTAGTTTAACTGGTATACAAAACCGGTGCACCTTGAATTTTTCATAAAAAAACTGCTGATTTAAGAAATATTTTTGAGCCTGAAGTAATAACAGGTATATGACAGTTCAAAGGAGATTACCATACATTAATCCTTTTAAGAAAATTTCATAATTCTCTCTAGGATTAACGATAAAAGTATTAAAATAAAATGTGGACTTTGTATCAGTTTTTTCTCTAGTTGCCTATTCAATCCTGTTATATGTCTGTTTTTTTGTTTTGTTTTTCTTGAAAAACAATATTCCATTTGTATCAAACATTTTTAAGAGTTTAAAATTGGTTTGGATCTCGTGGCAGTCGCTCTTATTACTGCATTCATTGATAATGGCTGAAGTCAGTGATACGTGACCTGGGTCCACAGGCTGCCTGAAACAATGGTTCGGCGAGCAGTTCAGAGGTAACGGGAAATAGAAAGCTACGCTAGGAGGCCGTGATCAGGCCATTCCAGAGTAACAGGTCCAGCTGATAACTGCTTCACTGCTATGCAGACCCTCAGAAACCATTATCACTTCTCATTGATTGTGTATCGCTGAGGGTGCAGATGTCAGCGCCCATACAGTAAGGAGAAGGCTTGCTGAACTCAACCTGCATACTCGGGTTCTCCCTTGCGGCTCTGTACTAACGGCAGCACACTGAGAAGCTCGCCTTCACTTTTGTCATAAACACATTGCATGAAGATGATTTGGCCTCTGTTCTGTTTTCTGACGAGTCCAGGTATATACTTTTTGGGGCAGATGGACGAGTTCAAGAGTGGAGAAGAATAAGCAATATTCTTAGTGCTATATAGTGAGAAGAGTGTTGTTCGGAGAAGTGTTGTTAAGAGTTAAGGACAGAACTCCATGTGTTCCAAAGACCGGTCCTCAATGCAAATATGTATATCATCGTCGTCCTCGAGGAATATTTTAGCCTTTTTATCACTCTCCATTTCCTTTTGATACAGAATAATGCTAGACGGCACATCAAAAATGTAGTAGGGGACTACCTAGACGAGTTAGTGTTCGCATCTTGGAGTGGTCAGATTGCCACCCAGACTTCAATCCTATTAAACATCTTTGTGATCAACTTGAGGCATCCATCCATCAACGGCAGAACCCTCCATGTGACCTCCAATTACGTGAATGGGATCAGATTCAAGGTCAGGTAGTCATTATTCGCAGTATGGCTACAATAGTACAGGCTGTTATTCAAGCTAGGTAAGGCAACACAAAGTATTAGAGACTCTGATTTCATAATTAAACTAGAATTGATGAGTTTTATTTTTGTTTAAAAGAGTGTCCATTTGTTATATTTTACGTTACAGATATTTAAAATGAATTTTTGTTATTTTTTTTCATATATTTGTGATCTCCTAGAAACAGAATATGTCACACTATGTTAAGGTAAAAAAAAATTACAGTTTTATTTCTGTTGGGAAAGAAATAATGACAAAATTTAAGGTGCACTGGTTTTGATGACCACCAGTCTATTTTATCTATGTTCGTATTATATTCAGAGACTTGAATACAGTACAGGTATTTATTAATTTTTTAGATGCTCGGTTTCTAGTTTTTGAGTGTCCATTTTGCTTTTGCATTGGTTTATCAACAAATCTTGTATTTTAGATGCAAAAGTAGGTGAATTTTATTGTTTAGTGCATTTTCCAAATTTAACTATATTTAGAAATTTCTAAAGAAAACACTAATGAAGGCAGTAGTGATTACAATTTTAATCTGTACATATTATAATAAAATAATTTTTTATAAAAATTTTGGATTTGAAAAATATTTCGCTTCTGTAATATTTCAGATTTAAAATACCTTATTTATTTTTTTAAAAAATTAGAAAAAGTTTAGCTGTATTTAAATATTTCTTCATAAAAACTTATGAGTTTAAATAATGATATATTAACCACTTAATGCAATTACTTAAATTAAAATAATATTTTCTGAAAATTTTAGATTTTTAAATCATTTGAGATTTTAAAAAATTCTCAATATTTACTCTGTTACTACAAAGGAATATAATTCGGTCCTTACTTTTTTTAGGGACATAGTATACTACAAACACTTTGATTATTTATTATTAAGCAGAATTCTATTTATACTGAAGAGAAAATGTTTTACATTTCACATTCTTAAATATATTTTTTGTTTGAATTAAATTGTTTTAAAAACCAAGGACTTATACTTATATGGATACAAAAATAAAAATAAAACCATTTTGTAAGCTACCATGATTGATCCTTATCATATAGATTGATACAGTTAAGAGATATTCATTTGAAGTTACCAAAAATTTTATACTTAATTCTTTTTTTTACGATTCTTGACTCCGATGTTTATAGACTTAATTAAAAATAAATATTGCATTTATTTAACTATTTTATTTATTATAGCCTTCAAGGGTTCTTTTAAGTGAAACCTTCACCAATTTTGATTACAGCTGGTATTCAATAAAAAAGAACCTTTTTTTTATTATGTTCTAAATATTTTGTTTGTGGAACTATTTCATAATTTGATTGTTTATGTTATTTATTTTATCTGTTTCTCTATTTAAAAAAAATTAAAAATGTACTTTTTGTGTTATTTAAGTTATTTCATAAATTATAAAGAAACTTTATTATTATCTTTTACTCTTCTTATATGTTTTTTAAACTATTTCACATTTCCTTTAATGCTAGGATATAGTTAATAACTGTAAAAGAACTTTTGTTAAGAGATATAAATGTTTTCTGTATTTGGTCATATTGTATTAAACTGTTTGACTAATCTAACTACATTAGTTAAAAAATACATCACTACAAGAATATTAATACTTCTTGTGTTTTTAATACATATACCAATGAACACTCTATTTATTACATAACCTATTTGGAATAAAATTCTAAACTTAAGGAATTTGATTTCTTGCTCTAACTCAGAAAGATAAAAGTTTTATAGCTAATTATTCTGAAATATTAGCAAAAATAAAATTTTCATCCATATAGCTCCTTGTTTGTGAATAGAAATCTATTAAAATTTGACAAATCTCTATAACAATGTAACAAAAAGGGAGTCAGTCGTATAAATTTTCATTATTCTAATTATTATTTTTGATATCAATGAATTTACAGAGAACAAGCTAGTTTGCGTCTCTGGCACTTTACTTAACCATTCTTTACTATTTAACATCCAGAAATGTACGAAAGGTCTACCAAATCGATTTCTACCGTATTGGTAGTTGGTGATTTTATGTTTTCAATCGCTTAAAGCCTTGATATAAATATTGGAGAGTGTCCAGCAGCCTTTGATTCTTTGAATAATACTAATTGATTATAGGATGTTTTTTTTATAGACTCATGATAATTCAAAGGCGACTGTTCTGTAACATTTGTAATTATCCGCTAACTTGGTTGAATAAATCCACTCAGTAGATCTAATCTTACTTTTTGCTTCTCCTAGTGTAATAAATCTACTTAATCAAGTGAGTCTTATTTTTCCCCATTACGTAAACCTTCTGGTCTTCTTATTGAAACCCAAGATGACTGACTTATGGATCTTTTATTTTATTTGAGCAATAACAGTGCTGGAATAATCATCAGATAAAGGAAAGTGTAGGGCTGCAATGCATAATCGAGAATGCCAATTTATTTTTTCACCAAGCTTTGAAATCAAATCCTTGAGTTTGCGAAGTTTATTCTTGTACAGTTAATACGTACTTAGTCATATTATTAATGATCTTACGAATTTGGGATTTTTATAATTTTATTTTATTACTGTGTTATTTTATTAATGCATATTGAATATTCACTGAAGATAAAAGTTTCTTTTAAAGCTTTGAGTTATTTTTAACTCAATATTTCTTTTATTAAATTGCATCCAAATAAGTGTAATTGTATATATTTTTACAATAAAAGCTTTTAAAACATTGTTATCTTTTATAAATGTAGAAATCTCTGTTAAATTCTGGCAATTGCTCTTTATTTTCTTGTACTATCTTCATTATTATTTCAATGCTTTTTCTTTTTTCTTTATGTAAATTCTTATTGTTATGTTTATTGATATGAATACCACTTTTGTACTTGAATAGTTTTTAGTCTTAGCATCTATACTGCTATGGAAATGATTGAATTGTTATCAACTATTTATTCCCATTTAATTATTTAAACCAAGAAATTTTTTTCTTAATATTTTACCTACCAAAACCATTTTTTTATTTTTAAAAATAAAAATTAATGAATTTTAATATCCGACAATTTATCTTAGTGTCTGCTTTAATTAAAGAATAATTTACTTTTTTTATATGTTATAACATCTGTTTAAGTTATAGTTTGCCGAAGTCTTATGTTG